TCGCTTCACGTGCCGAAAGAAGAGGCGAAAAGAAAACCCGTTGACCGTCCTGACAGACTGTCAATACCATTCATTAAACCCCATTACACGGAGAAATATCCGTAATGCAATCTATAGATAATCATACCATGCTTAAATTATAAACTTAAGCTTATATTTCATACTAATATTCATTAGAGAGAAATATCCGTAATCAATCTATTAAGATCAACATTTTTTTAAGATTTCTTTATTTTTAAAAGTTTATTTTTTAATGAAAGTATCCTAATCAAATAGCTTGTCTAAAAATCATTTTAAAGTTTCGTACATTATCAAAAGTATAATAACTTGACTACAGCTGAAGCTAAACTCAATTTGATATAGAGAACTGTCTCTTTGAACTCATCCATTAAGATTTCATTTAAAAAGTGGGAACAACTTGTATAACATTTTAAGCTTTTAATTGTAGATGATCAGTTTTTCTCACTGTGCAGGGGGAGTTGCGGGCTGGCAAAGGAACTCAGTGTCGTACGATCGCTCGCGGTAAGGTGGATCGGTTCGATTCGAGTTGACCTTATCGCTCACACTTTCGATATGCAAAGCGGATGAGCCTGAGCAGGCATAATTGATCGGACAGTTTGACAGTTTTGTAGTATCGTTATATCATTGTTCGTTCGGCCCATTTGTTTTCGGGCAATAACAATATTAACGATGATGTGATAATGCCCTACCTTGCCAAAATTGAGTGACAGCCTTGTGGGTGGTGGAGGAGTACTACTTTTTTTCATTTCGAGAATCCAAACTAAACGCCTGGTTTATTGCACCGTGTGTAGTGGAACCGTAAGGTAGCTGTCAAGATAAAACTGAGCCAATAATCTTTTATGGCATCCAATTCGGCGCTTATCACCGCAACAAAAAAAAAAGGCGGGGAAGCAATGATTTTCTTCTTCTGCTCATGACTGGCTTATGGGAAGTGAAGGGGGCCGGGATCGAAGATTTTCCAGTTTTTAGCGCATTTTTTTTTAAATTTTTTTTGCGTCACATGCATCTGATAAATGCCTGATAACTCATTTGATGTGCGGGAATTAATTATAAATAATTAGTGCACTTATAAAATAGGCGATGATAAACACGAAAATCACAATGTAAACAAACAAATAATTGCCCAAGCACAATAATTACCTTTGCCCCGGTTTGGTTTGTGTGAAATTTTTGGAAAATTATTAAGAAATTATATTAATTGTTTGATCCAATCGTTTGTCCTCGACATTGACGTTGCCGAAAAAGTGACTTTTTCACACAGCCGCGTTAATGATAATGATAGCCAGCGATATGCTCGATGGTGCGATTTTAAGGCCAGAATTTGCAGATTCAATCAACGGAGACCAATACGCTTGAACACTATTTAACTTTTGTGGCCATTAGTTGTTTAAGTATTTAATTTTTCACACCTGCTATGTTGCAAGGATTTACGAAATTCGCGCACGCGTTGTTTAAGGGTTTATAACGTATACGCTTCGTTTTTTTTTGTTTTTTGTTATTTCGGCCCCCGCTGGCGATTTGTTGTTAACTGGCGGACGATCGCTTAGTGACTGATATTAAGCCAATGTTTGTGCTTTAATTTGTTACTGCGACGGCGTCGCCAGAGCGGCTATAAACCCGGCCAGACACACAGATATATTCCCCTCTGAAACGCGGAGACGAAGTCGCTTCGGTTCGGGCAATTAGCGCAATGGACAATAAACGTTACCGTGACGCAGGTGGGGCGAAGTCGGCCTCTCTCCGTCGACCAGGTGAGCATATACATATGCACATAAATCTTGTATCCATGTCCACTGTGCGTATGGGTGCTTTCTACAGATCACTCAGCTTTGGGCATTCGGCGGCCAGACAAGTCTGCCTTCGTCCCATTACTCATACGCCGTGTGAGAGGAGGAGTATTTGTGGCAGCAGGAGGAATCGATCGTGTTAACTGGGTGCCCAGTGATTGCGCCTATTATTTTGTTGTTAGGGCAGTCTTATCTATGGATTGTGGACGCTACTTTGTCGAATTGGATTTGTTTGGCTTAGAAAGATACATAATAGCTTATCTGATTGCATTTCTCTCAGGAAAATCACCAAAACCGAGTGATTAGGCATACTTTTGGGTGCTAGCTCTTACATATATGACTTATATTTTAAAGTAATTACTAAACCACCCTGTATCCTTCACAGACAAACTGTCTGCCATCGTCCAACAGCCTAACTAACAAAAGCTATCGTCAAATATCAATCATCTATTACAGTTAAAAGGCTTTGCAACTGCACAGACAACATTTTTGTCAACTAAATTTTTTAAATGTTAAATCTTAATCTAAAAAGATAATAATTTTGCTATATTTTTTTTTAAGACTGCTCTTTGTAGTATGGGAATTTGGATCTGTTAATAATAAGATTATTATAAAGTTTCTCGAATTTTATCTTTGAACTTAAAGTTGAGCAAGTAGGCAACAGAAAAGAATTTAAAGAAATTATTTCAAGAAACAAGTTTAATTATACAATAAATATTTTACATTAAAGTTTACTAAATATAACTAAAAAAACTTTATAAAATTAAAAACTACTGAGATGCTCAAATCGTAGTTAATTAGATAGGATATTTAATTTATATAGGACATTTCCATCTCTCTTTATAAAGTTATTTCCTAACTAATCACAGATTTGATTTTATTTGGTCTAATATATCTGATAACAAAAACCCGTTCAATAAAATATCGACCGATTTTGAAGATAGGATAGTATTATGAATGTCTGATAAGGAACTGTATTTTTTGCACTGTATATAGGCCCCAAATGGAGCGAGTGGTGCATATACTTGCAGCTCAAGAATTTGCTCGACACTTTGAGCCTCCCAACCAGCCCCCCCCATCCGTGTAGCCCCCCCTCCGGCAATTACTTAGTGCTGCCTTGGGCGCTTCTCTTTTAGACAGACCATGGAGTTTAGTGATTGACTTGTTTCAAGTAGCCAGCTCCCCTTGTTAGCCAGTTTTGTTGTCTTACCATAAACATGTGAATATGAAACAACGATCGGTTTTTGTTTGCCCAAGCCCGTGTGGTAGTTAGTTGCCGGCGTCAGTGGGACAGTGGAAAATTTTTAGCTGCTCGGTAAATGCTGTAAACTAAATGCATTTTTCACGTGATGTGCATTTCGAATATCGACGAGTTCAAACAGCGTTGCGCCAAATGGATTTTAGATGTCATTGATTTATGGTAGGGGGTCATTAAATGTGATCTCATTTAAAGGGCCAATGACGCAATTAAGTATCGGTTAGACAGCCGAGTTCTTGGATAACAGCAACAACTTAGGAGTTGATTGGATTGAAATTGCCATAGTTGTGGATAGTAAACATTGTATCTTTAATTGCGGAGTACTGATAAAATATGATGTACGAGCTGTGTTGTATTGTTTAACAAGGTTTTTTATTGACGCAAGACAATTGCACGTTGCGTATACGACATGTGGAAGCCTTGGAAACAGTGATAAAGTGATAAGCAAAGGGTTCTGCGATGAACAAGACAAGAAACCGAAACCCTTTAAAGCGGGTCAAGAACTTGGTCTATAGCCACTGCAATATTGACACTACGATTTCTTATCGTTGGAGAATTTGGAAAATATTTACTACTGCTTGCTGCTGTCCGTATTGACAATCTCCGTTGAGCCTGATAAAGTTGTACCGCCTTAATAGAGAATTATCGATTGTGAAAGCCGCCTGGATGGGCGCACTTAAGTGCTTATGATATTATCGGGTCTTTGCGGGGGGGATTTCCCACTCATCTGATATACATTGTGCCTCCTTGAGACTACCTCTCATCAATCTAATTGATTTTCAAGCGGCAGCTCAAAATACCTGGAAAAAGTTAATTAAAAAAAATCCCCTCCCTTAAAAAAGTATTTAAGGCCTCTTGTCACCGACTTTCCTGCCTCTGGCTCATTACAAGGCACATCACATCACATCGCAATCGTATTTCTGGCCAACTGATCGGGCTTAAGCTCGTCGAGAAGTTCACATCCAAAGCGCATTGTGTGTATTATCGTTCATAATAACAAGTCAAAACAATAAATAATTGATTTGCTTCCGCAATTGGTTTCCGGCTCTGCCTTCTCGCCATGTTTTGGGGTCAGCTCGGTTCGAATTGGACGCATTGAGAATTGAGCACTGAGTAATTAATTAATTGATTAATTAATATGCACACTGCGCAGCCGCTTGCGGGTTGAGATTTAGATTCCGATTTCGATATTTCGGGTATACAGCGTATACAGCTTCGGCACTGACCTTGCCCGATGTCAAACACCCGCGCGCATTTTTAATTTACGACTGCGACCGCTGACTTCGATCATGTACGGAGGTGAGCTGAGTGACGCTATGTAGATTCGCATTCAAAATCTGGGCTAGTGGGGGTGGCGAGTCACCCAAGTCATCCGGGTGACAACTTCCTTGAGTTGCCGCCACCAAACCGGTTAAATCTTAAACGGCGGCTTCACAAAGTGACTTTATTTAGCACCTGGTTTTTGTTTCGTGTTGCCCCAGGTGACAGAATCCCTTTGTTCGAGCGGGCCCCAAAAATACAATAAGTGTGGCGAAGCACGCCCTGTAATATAAATATTTGAGATATGCAAATTACCTGCTGTGCAAATGACAAACCAAGCTACAGTCATCTGGTACTAAAACTGACACTTGTGGGCTGATTCGCCATGCAATCACCCTCAGCTAGCATGACAATAGGAACTTTCTAACTCACGGCTTCCCAAGAAATTCCCATTTCCGCATAGCTCAACGACAGAACGATCAAGGTGAATTTTGCATCAATTTCCAGTTCTATGCTGTACTATCGTACATGCAATGCAAATGGGAGTGTGTCTCGATCGGTGGTATTTAATGGCTGTAATTAGCATTTCCATGACTAAATCGAGATGCGTCATCGCAGCTATTAAAAAATTGTTTAACTACAATTAGCGTAATTAAAGTTATTTGGCAGCTCGATAGGATCGAATGATTTATAAAAAACAATAGAAATGGGCTTTGCCGCTAGAGTGTCTCTACAACAGTAACAGATAAAATTATAAATGCAATTTTCAGCTTAACTTTAAGAGGAGTGGTCCGATTCACGTTTACTCCCCCTTGTAGACGGGCTTGCGTTTCTCGGCGAAGGCGGCGAGTCCCTCCAGGCGGTCCTTGGTGGGTATCACCTGTGAGTAGCATATCTCCTCGATGGAGTAGCCGGTGGCCAGGTCCACCTGCATGCCCTTGTCGATAGCCAGTTTGGCCATGCGTACGCCCACTGGTCCGTTGGGGAGGATTTCCTCGGCCAACTTAAGCGCCTGCTGATAGGCGGCGTCCTTCGTTTCGTTCTGCTGCACCACATGGTTGACCAGACCCAGATCCTTGGCCTCTGTCCCGTCGAGTACTCGTGCCGTGAAGATCAACTCCTTGGCCAGGGCGGGGGACAGGATGCGAGGCAGTCTTTGGGTGCCACCCGCTCCGGGTATGATGGCCAATCTCGTCTCCACCAGACCCATTTTGGTATTCGAAGCGGCGGTGCGGATGTCGCAGGCCAGAGCCATTTCTAGACCTCCACCCAGAGCAGCGCCATCCAAGGCGGCAATCACGGGCATGGGCAGCTGCTCAATGGCGATGAGCAAACCTCGCAGCTCCTTTACAAATTCGGTGGCCTCCTCTGGGCTCATACCTGCCACAGTAAAAGGATTAGAAATCGTTATCATTAAGATTTAAGGACAACTCACCCTTGCGCTCTTTCAAATCAGCACCGGCACAGAAGATACCAGGCGTAAGACTCCTCAATACGACAACCCTCGATTCATTGTCCTTCTTAATGTCATCCAGGACATCAGTGAAGGTCTCCACCATTCCCCGGCTGAAGGAGTTCTTTGCCGCTGGTCGGTTAAGGCCAATAACTGAGATTCCCTGGCGAGGTCCTTCCAATCGCTCCACCAGAACTTCATCTCCATCGCCGTATGGCGCCGCTGCCGCAAAATGGCGGGCAGCAACAAGTGGGCGGGTAACCTGACGGGCTAATTTCGCAACTCCTTGCATTAAAATTGACATCTTGTATTTTAAAACAGGAAAAAACAAAAGCGAAATTGGACAACTAAGTGATTATAAAACGACCGGCAGAAAACAGCTGTTGCTGCCAGTGCTGAAAAAGCTTAAATATGCTATCGATAAGCATATCGATAGGTTCGAGACACATTGTGAGCTGTTCTCACTGTCCTGTATTTCATTGCTTCAACAAGATAAAAAGTTCAAAAATTTAAGCTAGGAAAAATGCAAATGTTGTCACTTTTATTCAGAAAATAGCTAATAAATGTTACCAAACATATAGTTTATAATTTTTCTTAACAGAAAACTCTAAAAAACATGGGTGATAAAGCTTGGCGAACTTATTTGCTCCGAAGACTTTTTTAAGATTTTAAGAATTTGTGAAAATACATAATATGCTTTATGGTGAGAACATCTATTAACAACCTGTGGTGTGACCAAGGCGCGCTGGCGAAAAACAAAAACCACAACAACAGATAAAGCACAGGCAAAAAGCGCCAGCCGGTGATGGTTAAATTTTCAGTATAAAAAATTCGCCAATGTGTATTTAAAACGTTTTTTCCAAGTACGCCTTTATCGCGCAAAGGTGTGTGCCCCCAGGCCGGAAAGGGGAGTTCCACAGATTTCTCCGATCACGAGGAATTACGCTTGCAATCCGTCCACTTCTTATTATATTTGTTCCCGCATGACGTAGTTTTGCGTTGAAAGTGAAACCGCGGAGCACCCCCAATCACAACAATAGCACAACACCGATCAGTATCTAAAGTTCGATAGTGTCGCAGCGCGCCGTGTAAGTAACCCTTAACACATATGTATAGTAAAGTCCAACCTTATCTGCTATCCTTTCCAGTGCAGGATGCTGATGCGCGGCGTGCAGCTCCTGCATCGAAGACACCAGCAGTTTGGAAGGGCCTTCAGCCAGTGCTCCTTGCGCCATGACGCCGGCAATCCTTGGAGACGGAATGATGGCGAAACATCCAGGCCGCATCCCTGGAAGCGACCCGGCATGTTTCTCCAGTTTCGCTGCAGTGCCGGCGGCAGTGATTCAAAGAAGAAGGAGCAACTGGCTCTGGAGGAGTCCACCGCTGTCACAGCCGCCGCACAGCCAAAGGAGAAGCAAACGAAAAATTTTGAGGTAAAGACCTCCAAGGGCATCCTGTCCATCAGCACCACCATCGAGGACTCCAAGATCAATGAAATCGTGTTCGAGAAGTCCGATCTGCCGCCGGTGTCCAAGCTGAAAGAGCCGGCTCTAGCTGCAGCGGCCATCAATCTGAGGGCCAGCGCCAGCTCCACTGGAGCAAGTGGAGGAGGTAGCATTATGAACCCTCCTGAAACGATTCCACCAAAGCCTGGCACATCTATAACTGATTTGACTAAAGCAGCAATAGTGGTAAAAGCGGTAGAAGCTACTGCTCCTTCATCCCAGCCAGCAGATGTTCCGCCTCCGATGCCTGTTCTTCCTCCCAAGCGACCGCGTTTTGATTATCGCGCCTCTCTGGAGCGTAATTTTGTGACGCCCAATCGGGCCATAAGCGATTTCTTGCTAACAGCTGCGGACCTCGAAAGCCTACCCAAGATCAAGCGGAGATCTCCGTACGAACAGGAGCCACCCATGACCGTCTATTGGCGCCGCGATGTGGAGGCCAAAGCCGTCGAGGTGTGGGGCTCTAAGGAGAACCTATTGCGAGAGCGACTTAAGCGGGAGATAGAGCGTAAGCAGTACCAGCAGAGTGAGTACCTGTGTCCCCTGCGTCCGTTCAACCTTTAATTTGGGTGCTAAAGTCTATGACTCCACAGATCTTTTCACTGTCAAGCGGCGGCTGCGCGACTACCGCAGGGAGATGGGATCCCGCACCAAAGTGATGCTTGACAATCGGAAGGAGTCGGAGAAGTCGGGCCAAGTGGTGGCTACCGCCATTGCCATGTGAGTTTCATAATTTAACAGCCTTAAAGCTCTGATAGCAAGATTTGACATCTTTCAGCAATGCGGCTAATTTGCTTTTCAAAGCTGGAGGATGGCTGTACAGCGGTTCCCACAGCATGTTCGCGGAGGTTATCCACTCACTGGCCGACTTGATCAACCAGCTTATCCTCGCCTTTGGCATATACAAGTCCTCCCAGAGCCCAGACATCGATCATCCTTACGGTTACATGAATATGCGATATGTTTCCTCGCTGATTTCTGGCGTAGGCATCTTCTGCGTTGGCTGTGGCCTGTCCATTTACCACGGCATTGACGGCATTCTCCACCCGGAGCCCATCGCGGATCTGTTTTGGGTGTACTGCATCCTCGCAGGGTCCCTGGTTTCTGAGGGAGCCACGTTGGTGGTGGCCATCAATGAGCTGAAGCGATCAGCCAAAGAAAACAACATGACCTTCAAGGACTATGGTGAGTTTTACCGGTATAAAATAAAAAAAAATAGTTTATATTTAACAGTGCTTATATTCCACAGTGATTTCTGGCAAGGATCCGTGCGTTAATGTGGTGCTCTGCGAGGACGCTGCTGCTGTAACTGGCGTCATGGTGGCTGGAGCTTGTATGGGATTGAGCAGCTACACAGGATCTCCCATCTTTGATGCCGCTGGATCCCTGGTCATTGGAGCTCTCTTGGGGGCCGTGGCCTCCTTTATCATTTACACAAATGCCAATGCTCTGGTGGGCATATCCATCTCCTCTGAGCGACTGGAAAAGATTAACTCTGCTTTGGAGGCTGATGTCATGATCAGAGCCATTTACGATGTCAAGGGCATCGATATTGGCAACGCTCGTGTCCGCTACAAGGTAAGACCTTGCTCTTGAGATGCCTTGGTGCGACTAAATTGAATTTCTACAGGCTGAGCTAGACTTCGACGGTCGTGAGCTGACGCGTTCGTATCTGGACAAACAGGATCTGGCCAAGCTGCTTACGGTGCGTCATATTGACCCATTTGTGGTTCTGGGCCCTTCATTAACCGGTTTTTGTTTACCCCCGCAGACGGTTCGAGGCTTTGAGAAGGTGGAGGATCTGGAGGGCTTTCTGCTGGATCAAGGCGAAAACATTGTGGACCTGATGGGCGGTGAAATCGATCGCATCGAGATGAATCTGCGGGTGAGTTTTTACTAAAACAAAAAAATGCAATTTTTAAAGTTACTTAACTTGAATTTTTTTTTTCTTATGACAGACGCAATTCCCGGAAATACGTCACGTGGACCTGGAAATACTCTAAGCCCCCTCCATTCGCCTGGGGACCTGTTGATATCATAAAGCATTGGGTGATTTGGTCGCTTTCTATAAGAAATTTTTGCCCGTCTAGCTTATATTTATTTCCCATTGTGTACTTTTAGATGTAATTCTTAAAAATAAGCATTAAAAGTGTATTGCCTCGGGCTTGACAGGAGTCCGGCGGTTTAAGGAAAATTCGCCGGTACCTATCCGTTTTCAAAGTAGTTTGTTCGTTGAATTGTAGAGCGTTTTCCTTAAATATTCCTTCGCCTGCTCTTGTGTACCATAAATAATGTAATTATTATGCAACGTTTTCCACTTCTTTGGCATGGGGTCGGAGGTCAACAAATGCAATAGTTTTCGCTTTTTCGCAGCTCTGCAGCTCTCTTCGATGTCGATCTTTAACAGCGTTTTACTTTCACTGTTAAAGTTTTGCGGCTCTGTGGCTGTTTGGGAATTTTTTCAGTCTGACTTGGCGCGTGAATTAAAACGGTTGGCTCTTGGCGTTCCCATGAGAGCCGAATAAATAATATCACCAGTGAACACAAATCATTTCTAAATACAGCAACCTATATGTTGGTTAAAGATAACCAAAAGTCAAATACAAAATTTGCTAATATAATTGAGGACAACTCTGAAGGCACACAAACCTGAACAAGTTTACGTGTTAAATAAATATTTCCTGCGGTTTGTTTACCTGTCTAATTAATTCCAAAATTGAGTGAGATAAACAAAACAAAATTTTAAGCTGTACGGGCGTGAACTTTACTAATGTCACACAAAGAAAATAATAATTTGCTTATGTGTGATTTTGCATAAATGAATTTCTTTAAAAAGTCACTAAAGGGTTACCGACCTATGACAAAGAATAGATTCATTGTTAAAATAACAAAGAATTTTCTACATAGAAAAAAGAGAGTTCATATTTAATAAAGCATTATAGTATCAGTATTTGAAATCAGTTATGTAGAAAGCGGTCATGTTATTAAATAGGAGTTTACATAGTTCTTTAAAAAATCGTTTAAAATATATCAGAATATGAAAAGTGCACTTACAAAATTGATGGGGGTACATATGCAGCCAAAATTTAATTTCGATGGAATTATTTTTAAATGATGTTATTTCCAAATATAAAAGAAACTCAACTTATTTTAAATATTACCACATTTTATAAACTTTCCTTAAAAACTAAAATTAGCATATCAAATTTTTTAGCCTTTCAATATTACATGCTATTATTATTAGAGCATTAGCAGGTCGATCAGTTGAAAAAGAATCTCCGAATCTAATTTGGTTTTTTAATTTGTGCTTTCTGATTACTGAGTGGCACTCGTTGACCCATTAACGGTACAATCAGCGACAAACGAAATTTAAATGCTAATTAGATGGCACATGAAATCGTTTTAAAAATGCCACACAAGTGTATTCGCATCCCAGCACATAAATACTTCAGGGTATCCCTATGACCAATGCACATTTGTAAATATAGAATCAATTATTCACCGCTGCAGGTGAAGTGTGGCCCATGCCCATCCGAATTGAGGTCACGAACCGAGTGCAATTGCTGATTCGGTTTCGGTTTCGGTTCCATTTCCATTTCCACAGACAAATGAATTCCAAGCCAGATGACGATCAATGCCACGATGCAAACAGGTGGATGATCAATCAATTGAAATCAGCTCGTTCTCGTAATTGCTGTCACTGGGAATCTCTGCAATATATCAATTAGTTAACTAATTGTTTTTTTATGGTTGCATAAATCACACGATCTTTTTGAAATGGCTTTTTTTAATGATTGCATATATCACACGATCTCATAACATTTTTTTTTTGTTTGTTTAGTGATTGCATATATCACATACGATCTGTTTGATTTTTCAGTGAGACAATGCAGTGTTTATGGCTATTATTTTTGGTGCTGCCAAAACTGATAACAGGTGATGTGGAAAAACCTCCCACAAAGCCCAATATTATATTTATTTTAGCCGATGATCTGGTAAGTCAAAGAGGTCAGGGAGTATCCATTATAACTCTTTTTAAAAATTTTGTTACTCTTACTAGGGCTTTAACGATGTGGGTTTCCATGGTTCGGCCCAGATTCCCACGCCCAACATCGATGCCTTGGCCTATTCTGGGATCATTCTAAATCGTTATTATGTGGCACCCATTTGTACACCCTCAAGATCAGCACTTATGACAGGAAAATATCCCATACATACGGGTATGTGAGGGGATTATATTTCCAAATATTTATAACTCATAAATATATATTCTTGTAGGAATGCAACACACGGTTCTTTATGCCGCTGAACCACGAGGCTTACCGCTGGAGGAGAAGATACTTCCGCAGTACTTGAATGATTTGGGGTAAGTTCAAAAATATTGCTTAATTGGCAACCTTCAATTACTAACCATAATGTCCACAATAAGTTACACCTCTCACATAGCTGGCAAGTGGCATCTGGGGCACTGGAAACTCAAATATACTCCGCTTCATCGGGGCTTTAGTAGCCATGTGGGATTCTGGTCGGGTCACCAGGACTATAATGACCACACCGCCGTCGAGAACAACCATTGGGGGCTGGACATGCGCAACGGCACGGAAGTGGCCTACGATCTCCATGGGCAGTACACCACGGACGTGATAACCGATCACTCGGTCAAGGTCATTGCCAATCATAATTCCACCCAAGGTCCTCTGTTCCTGTATGTGGCCCATGCAGCCTGCCACTCGAGCAATCCGTACAATCCGCTGCCAGTGCCGGACAACGATGTGCTGAGGATGGGACACATTCAGCACTACAAACGTCGAAAATTCGCCGGTGAGTTGGCTTGTCTACCTTAACCCTATACTGCCTGAACGTTGTATCAATAACGACCAAAAATGTTCTTGTAAATATATGTTTAGTTTTGTTACTTTTTTTTTCTCAACAAAATGTTCAGTTTTGGAATCTTAAATTTAATATTAAATTAAAAAGTTTTACCTTTTTTTAAGTAAGACGCGTGAACAAAACTTATAAAAACACATCAAAAAAGCATCACAGAAAAATTATTTGAAAATTCATTCTAATAAAAAATAGTACAAAGAACCAGACCGATGACAATCGACTTGTTTATACAAAAGAGGAAAGGAAGCAAGGTTTTAAAACGCAAAGTTTATATACCCATACAGCTATTACACATAATAAACGTTCTACAAAATGATTATATATGTTTAAAAACAATGAAGCTATGTCGATTTTACGCTGAATTTTTAAAACGTTCCTATGCCAGCTTTATGATTTTAATATAATTAAAAATTTATATAGTTATTAATATATTTTGAAGTTTAGTCGTACAAATTGAAAATTAGTTAAGCTATAATTTTTGTTCATTAATTTTCCTGATTGTTTCTAATGGATCCTATCAAAAGAACAAATTTATTTACTGTTGATATTTTAAATTTTTATAATGATCCAAAATTTAAATATTATCTGTCCCAGCCATGGTATCCAAAATGGACGACTCTGTGGGACAAATAGTGGACCAGCTGCGCAAGTCCAACATGCTGGAGAACTCCATAATTGTGTTCTCCTCGGACAATGGAGGTCCAGCCCAAGGCTTTAATCTGAACTTTGCCTCCAATTACCCCCTGAAGGGTGTGAAGAACACGCTGTGGGAGGGTGGAGTAAGAGCGGCGGGTCTAATCTGGTCACCGCTGCTAAAGAAGAGCCAGCGGGTGTCCAACCAGACCATGCACATCGTCGACTGGTTGCCCACCCTTCTGGAGGCAGCCGGTGGGCAACCAGCGGTGGCCAGTCTGAGCAAGGAGCTCGACGGCCTGAGCCTTTGGCGGGCTCTGGTCCAGGACAGAGCGTCGCCGCGGCTGAACGTGCTCCACAACATCGACGACATCTGGGGCAGTGCTGCGCTCAGTGTGGGCGATTGGAAGCTGGTCAAGGGCACCAACTACCGCGGCAGCTGGGACGGATGGTATGGGCCGGCTGGCGAGCGGGATCCCCGCCTCTACGACTGGCAGATGGTGCCCAGGAGTAGGGCAGGCAAGGCTCTGGAGGGACTCAAGATGCTGCCAAGTCGAGCGGATCAGCAGAGATTGCGGGCAGGAGCCACAGTCTCCTGCCAGCTGCAATCCTCTCAAGGAAGCAGCTGCAAGGCCACCGCCTTCTCGGCTCCATGCTTGTTCCACATTCGCGATGATCCCTGTGAGCAATTCAACCTGGCAAAGCAGTAAGTTTTTCTAAAATACCTTTTTCTTGTATGTTTTATTGTTTTTTGGTTCCATTAATTATTATAAAGATATCCCGAAGTTCTCATCGCATTGATGGCTGAGCTGGAGCGCTTCAATTCCACGGCAGTGCCGCCGGCCAATAAACCTGCCGATCCTCGAGCAGATCCCAGATTCTGGAACTATACGTGGACAAACTTTGGGGACTATGAAAACAATGGCAATGAGCCCATTAGTGGGGATCTGGCAAAGACTGTCTAAATTAAAACAAATTAATATTAAAGTTTAAATTCATAGGTAAATATGACTTACTTTTGCTTGTCGGCTACTTGCTTACTGACCCTTAGTATCGCATCCACTCCTGCCATTGTGTACATCCTCTTGATAATGGTGCAATTTTGTGTCCCTATGGTTGCGTAATGTCAACCGACACTTTAAATCACAAATTTTATTGTAGAACACGCAATTTTTTTATTTAAACCTGTTTTAGTATAAAAAAATTATTTAAATTGTACCACCAATTGAAAGCTCGTGTTGTTTTCAAAAAAAGGACTTAACAGTAATAAATATTTATACGTCGAGGCTGTATAGTTATTATAGTACAATTATGAAACTCTCAGTAAAATTCTCTGCCACAAACTGATCGAAGAATAAATCGTTTTTATCCGCCTTCGGATGTTTTGTCCGTTTCATGTCCGGATAAGTCTGAGAAGTTTTGATTCTAGGGGTAGTGTTAACCAGAAAACTAAAATAAAAAAAAACCCACGTCGTGTATTATGAGACCCTTGAGACAGGCCAAAAGTATCGTTTATTATTTGTATGTAAAATTGTTTTACAGCTTACGCATTATGAAATACAAATACTTGCACGATTACAAAATAAACATCAAATGCGACAGTTTTGAGTCCGAGTGCATACGTTTAATGCGTTACGTGGTACGCTACATACACTAGTTACATGGGCTTATATCAAAATTCTACTATAGTAGTATAGTACCAAAAAACTGGCTAATCATGCTTGTGGGTGCTGAATGCTGAATGCATCAGTAAGTTCGGCTGAACACTTTAATTTTGATTAGATTTGCTTGCTTGGTCGGCTCTTTTCTGAGATTCCTAATCCTACACATCTACGGAGGGGTTAAAAGGGAGTAAAGATTTTGGATAAGCGCCGTATGCGGAGTAGTCTAAGTGTATGAAGAGGATTTAATTTGGCATATAAAAGGTTACAAAGGGTTCGGTTAGAGATGCAGAAGCGTGCTCTCTGTGCGCAAAGCCTGGCGAAAGGGCCACGTGGATTCGCCTCCCCAAGGCCAAGTGCCCGGGCTCCGTCCCTGACACGCCCCTCCCGATCCTCGGATACACCTGCTGCCACTCGCTTCCCGTCCTGGCCGTGGACCGAATCCGGCGACGGAGGCTCCGACGAGCCGGGCGGTCCGTCTAAATGCGCTCCGTCACGTAAACCTTCGCGGAGGCGGGCGCATTGGACCGCCGCACCGCAAACGTCACAATGATGCCGATGAAGATCAGGGTGACGCCGATGGCACTGGTGATATAGTGCTCGATGAGCTTGTTCTCCGAGCTGAAAAGGTAAAGGAACGACATTAAAATGTGTAAGGACAAAGTTTTACAGACCAAAGCTTAGATCATTGTATAAGCTATAAAATAATTATGTGGCTTAAAAAACCAAACTTAGCACCTTACAAAGATATTTGACTGTTTTTATAATCACGATATTGAATGATTTCTTTTATTTTAATATTTTATTTATTTTTTTTTATTTTTGCTCTATAACTAAAGCTCTAAATTTATATAAAATAACTAAAGCTTTTTTAACCTACTATTTAATGGACTTGTTACTTTCCTTTCTTCTGTGGGCGTAAAAATTACTGTTACCTTGTAGTTTCAAATATAATATAACATTAAAAATTAATAAAAATAATTTTAATGACTTTATGCAATAAAGTTAATGAAAGAACTTGTTTACAACTCATAATTATCTAAAAGCAAGCAATTATTTTAAGATCGAGTGGCAGCCATTGTTCATGGGTTAGCCTATACCATTAAAATTAAGTAATTCTCACCTTACGCCCGTCTCGTTGACGGTTTCGCGCTCCTTCTCGATCAGACCCGTGACGGATGTGGCAATGGCCAGCCAGAAGTTGGCCAGGCCCAAGCTGGCGTGGATGGGTACCATGGCGGAGCGGCAGCTATAGGTCTTGTTCTCACAGCACAACATCACCAGAAAGCTATAGAGATCATGATTTAATATTCCGCATTGGGACATAGTTGGGAGACCCACCTGAAGAAGCCAATCACAAACTGGAGCACGAACATGCCCATTGTCACAAAACCCAGCCACGAGTGGAGGCTATAGAAGTTGACCTTTTGCAACGCCTCGTGGGAGTCGAACACGGAGAGGAAGCCGAGGGCGATGCACGGAATGGCCACGGCGTGGAAGAACATGTGGATCAGCTTCACATAGATGTGCTTCACGCATCGGCACAGTCGATAGATTAAGATGGCTATTGGAGGGGTGTTACAAATCAGATTAGCATACCCAGAAAGCATTGCTTAATGATCTTACAAAATCCGGATAGCGTCACGAAACCGGCAATCATCAGGATGGGATGCAGGTTGAACTGCTGCTTGGGACTCTCCGACCAGGCGAAGCCATCGCGGTAGAACATCACCCAGAAGAGGGTCAGCACCAGGACGCCCACCAGCAGGATGGTGGACAGGATGACGATCAGCAAGTACTCGCACCAGGAGCAGCAGTTCCAGGCATTGTCCGGATCCTCCTCATAGCGTCTGTAACGAGATGGGTCCATGATAGCAAATATCCAATATCAAATAACGCATAACTCAATCAATTACTATTACTTTTTGCTGCGACTTTTAATGTAGCTGGGGCTACGAAAGATCAGGCGGTTCAGTTCATCGATAAGGGGTCCGTCAATTGGTTTCATAGTGATCTAGTGACTAGATCTGATACTTGTAGCATCTCTAGCTGAACAAGTTACTTGAACTTATGTATGTATATGGCACAAAGGGAATCGGGAGTGTGGGCTGCCTCTCATTAAATACAATTTATGATGGTGCCTTGGAATTATGGAGATTCTGGCAGAGATTCTCAAGGGATTACGCTGCTCTAATTGCGGGTTGAATGTGCTGCTAATCTGCTTAATTGACAATAGACAACTGAGCGAGGGACTGTCACAGTGAATTTAAGAAATAGCACAATTGTCTAATTTGCTAAGCTAATTTCCAATCTTTCCCTATCTACGGAGTAGATGACTTGTAGTGACCAACTTCTAGCTCAACTTTTATTTTCCTTGGCTCTTTGGGTGTGGGTGTTTTGGGGTAAAGTTTATCCTACGGAATGATTTTGACAGCTGGGGAAAGGGCGAGGGTGTCAAAAGTGTATTGTTTCCAAACCAATTGCGGTCTGTCTGTCATATTAATTTCATCACTTGTCGTGCGATCGTATGACATACAATTTCGATGGCTGCTGCTGATGATGAGCGCAATGATCTCACCACACTAGAGATACAGATCCATCATCAGCATAGTGCATAGTTTTGGGGCTTTGGGAGAGGTCCCACAGAAAAACAATGGGCTAACCAAACCGCAGCCATCTGTTGATCTGTCGAAAGTAAACAGCCAGCAGAAAACTGGAGTGGAAACTGTGTGCAGTCGGGGTAATTGGGCGCATTGCTGGCCACCAACGAGCCGCTTAATCATCCAACAAGCCAAGTGCAGCTCCTTGGCTCCATACGAAATCGAAATCGGAATCCATTGGTGCAACAACGTATCGAGTGTAAACAAAGCTATTATTTAAATTAATAGTGCGAGTCGCATGTTGTGATAATGAAAGCAAAAGCGAATCGAGTCGAATCGAATTACCAGACACCACTCTCGCTTTCACGAGGCAGCGACACTTGCATCACCGCGAAGATAATGCCATGGGGTGCTGCTGCTCCAATTTACATGCAACACAATACGGCGGGGAGCATCGGATACGGCGGAGTACCACTGATCGGAGGCACTCGGAAAAAATCCAATCTTATCCGAGATTTATATGTAACTTGCAACTCCTTATGTCTTTGCTCCTGATAACGTTCTTTTTGGTTTTACTTGTATCACTGATAAGAGACACTAGATATCGGATCATAAGCTAAACATTTAATTTTATGCGAAATTTGATTGGGTAAAAATACTTTTTTTAAGCCAAAACAATATTAAATATGTATGTTAGCTTGAAATCGATTGTTTAGAAACTGTTTTTTCATATTATCCAATATTTAGTAATCAGTTCTAATTATTAATTACTAGAAATAATTAACCAATATTTAAACCTCAATGATTAATCATCATCATTATAATGCAAAAGTATCATCAATTAAAAAAGTAGTACTCTTGAAAATCTTGGACTAAACGCACTGTTCTATAACATAATATATGACTGCTTAAAGTTCATGCTTAGAACATGCTAAGCACTTAGATCAGATAAAGACACAAATTTCAATTCAATGGATTATGCGTTTTATATTATTAAGCGAGTTTTCGTCTCCACTGAACTTTGCTTTGGTTATATCAGATTCAAGACACCGAAGAAATTGACTTCACATAAAGATCAAATGCCTGTATTCATAAAATTATTCAGGGCATATCCATATCTGAAGCTGGCTGATCAGTAGTAGTTTTTCAATAATTAGTTTTACTTAACCTATTTATTAAATCAATATGTCGTTTTAAATAAAGTCAAATTTATTTTAATCTGAACGAGACTAACGATATAATTCATTTTTTTCTGCGTAAATGGTAGAGCCATGATAAAAAATAAAGAGATAATGTGTGTAATGAACATCAGCTTAATTTTAACGATAAGAAAAGACTATGTAGATAAAGTCAAATATTTCCATTTTCAAAGAGATTCAAGACGATCATTGATCTTATTTTTTTTTGCCGTGCATCCGATGGCGGTGTCAATGAACGGCTGTCTGCCACAAGTTGCACTCCTCCGCCGCAGTGGATGTAGATGTGGATGTGGCAGTGGATGTGGATGTGGTTGCATCTGTGGATGCAGCTGTGTCTGGGTTTGGGATTGGGATTCGGTTTGGTACTGCGGTTGGGGCAGGCATTTAGCAATCAACACATACGAGAGGGCGGGGAGGTGTGGCAGGGGGCTGTTTGCTTTAACACACATTTCACTTGCAGATAGTTGGAAAACAAGGCAACGCCAATGGGTGTATCTGTATCTGTATCTATAGCTTTGCTGCACATTTGTATCTCTTTCACTTTTCATTTGCCGGCTGCGCTGAGAAATTTTCGCTAAAAGCTTTTCGTTTTATGGAAAACTCGTTTGCTGGCAGCCACCTGTTTGGTTTTGGTACAATCGAACCTGAACCTGAACCTCAGCCTCAGTCTCAGTCGCAGTCTGAGCCAGCATTTTAGAGCCAGAGACGGAGACGGGGAGTTGGCCTAGGTGCAGCGACTCATGGCTAATGGGTCATCGTGGATAAAAGGCTATTGACTCTGCAGAGGCACCCACTGCAATTGCGAGGCAAATAATCAGAGAAAGCGCATCGTTAGCGTAATCTGCAAATTCCTTAAGTCATTTAACAAACGCAAATTGAATGCATAATTTATGCAAACATAAGTTACTAAACCTATCACGATTGAAGGATTTCAATTAAATATAAATAGACAATTAAAAGTATAAAGATACAGTATTATAAAACAAGCAACAGATTTAATACAAAAACCCAATATAATGTAATTCTTATCCAGAATATTTGTAAGTAAAAGTAAGTTTGTAAGTCAAAAGAAAATATAGCTACAGCAAATATAAATTCTTTAACTTATTCTTTAGCTCAAACTTATTTAGGTGGCATATGGTGATTCAAACTATATTTTTAAAATTAAGTACAAAAATAAAGAATAGATATGCTAATTTTATTTACAAGCGGCGAATATCAAGTTAAAAATTATATATTTTCCAGATATTCTGTGTTGAATTATGTCTAAACCTCCATCACTTCTTATCTGCAGATAAGAGAACTCTTCATGGAACCTGAGCAAATTTGGGGACTAGCCTATCTCAGTCATATGATGGAGATTATGATGACCCTGACAGCCAGATGTCCAACCGAGAGTAGATCAACAAAAAAAGTACTAATCAGATAGTAGGGAAAGCAGAACTTAAATGAAGGCCGTCACAAAACCAGGGTAATTATGGCAATAACTTGGTTACCGTACTTCTGTACTTCTCAAAAGTAGAGCAATGCTAGCTGGTCGAATGATGAAAATAGGGAATGGAAAAGTAGGAGAGAAACTTTTGCAGGAAGCCAGGGCACAATTCAATTAAAGAAACCAACCATCAGATGTAACAAGTAACGAGCTGACGCGGAATGCACAATTAAAAGTCTGCGGATCGAGGCGAATTAAAACATTTGCTGTCGCACGCATGGATGAAAATCACTCGAACACTCGAGCACACACACACAGTACACACACTTCTGTTTCTGCGGATCCTGCGGGTTGATTATGACGAAGTACGAGTACGGCATACTATAGTATTTATATATACTGGTCCGATCTGGTGTGGGGTTACTATACAATGAGCGGCAATTGTTTAGAGACGACGTCGATGTCGCGGCGTGTTCAATTGAAGCGATCTCTAGGGAGTACGGGTCGCCAACAATAATCCGACCGAAATATACACACATATGCTTGAAATTGTATCTTGCAGATACAATCGAATTCGCTGTACGCCAACCTGAGACGATCATCTAACCTACGAAGTACTCATTCTCCGCAAGCCGCAATTGTTTAAATTAAATAAATATGCATAAGAACAGCCCGCAATTTGTTTATTTTGGGTCTAAAGTCTGGCCTTTGGGGGGGTGGTTTTATGATATATGACGGCGGAAACTTACGCTGTTGTCGTTCCTCCGCGCGGCATTTTGGCCAAGTGGCGATCACGCATTTAGCCAAGTGTTGCTATTTGGGCCGAAATTCGTTGGGGTTTTTCAGCTTTTTCTGTCACCGCCACCCACTAGACGTAGAATCGCTGGGCGGTGCGTCACGGATATCGGTTGTATAGCTATATAGCTATATATACGATGGCCCAACTAAAGGTCGTTTATCTATAGAGCGTGGTCGGTGTTTTCCGCGTAATTAGGCTTCGCCCGTCGTTCAATACCGATGCTGTAAAATGCCACAATCGAGAGACAATTGAAAACCGACGTCTGGCTATGGGATCGCCAATCGCTAATCGCTAATAGAACTTTTCCAGATTGGATACAGATGCTAATCAAGCTGAATGCGTTAATTTGTCAATCACACGGGGCAACAAGCGATCCCAAAACAGTGACGGATTCGGTTCGTTATCTATTCATGTGCTCATGTGGGGCCGCAAGTTCACATCGAATTTAATCGAAGCGGTTTTCTATAGATGCAAATTTCGATTCTTGTCCAACAATGTCGAACAACTCTCGGTTTCTGAGTCAAAGAAAGTCGCAGATCCGCTAGTTGCGTGTAATAAGCATCCAAAATTTTAAGAGAAGTGGCACACAAGTTCAGTATAAACAAAGCACTTTAAATATAAAAGTGTGTTTCTTGCTTTTTTGTGTTTTTGTTTATATTGCTCCTTTTGTTAACGGTCGCACACTAACACAAACAAATGCCCGAAAATCCTCAATTAAATTCACAGGGTCTTATTAATGGTTGAACTACAACAACGTACAGATCGCGGCGATCAGCAAGAGACAACTGAAAATGTATTTCAATTTTCTGGCCAAAGCTTGCTGGGGTCTATCTAAAAGATTCAGCTCCAAACTAGCTAGGTTTTAGATCATATACACGTTATATCGATTTTCACCGGAGACTACAACCGATCGTTAGCTTTTTAGCTGAGGCTGGAACCAGTTGGATATAATTTTATCCGGGAGTCGAACCTTGAAACGATCGATTTATCTAGGACTTGAACCGAACTTCAGTAAGTAAAGGAGGGAGATACGAACATTAGTATGTGTTAATTATTTGAATAAGGTCTTTTGATTAGGAAGATTAATGACTTAGTGTCTTCTCGCCTCAACCTTGGATTATGCAATTTTGGTCTAAAAGGTTGACACTTAAGCTCATAAGACTAAGAGTGTAAATAAAGTTAAGATAAAAGATTATTAAGATCGTCAGCTGACTGGAAACTGTTGGACCAAACAGTCTGACATTGTGATAAGAATAGGGTTTTTGAATTAAAGTAAACTAAAGCAAACCAATTTTGGACACAAATATTCTCCGCCTAGAAACTAATTAATGAGCCACCTGTTTGTCAACAATACTTTGTGACTATAAATAAATAAGTAACTACGAGAATCAATCAAAACACCTGCCAGCAGCAGCTTGAATCAATCAAATATTTATGGAAGCGAGGCTTCCTCTAATTCCTATTGAAATACTGGGTCAGCAATTACTCGCGGGATATTTCCACTTCCACTTCCACATTCATATTCCCAATACCCACTCCCCTGTACAGACAACAAACACACCCTGGGACTTTGGGTCATTATTCCAGCTCCTTGGAGCCCATAAGCCAGTGGGCTTTGGGCGGACAGCGCGCCCAAAAATTACTTGAAATCAAATGAAAACCAAATGAAAATGAAATGAAAACGAGGCGGCGAAAAGGTTGAGTCCGGACAAGAAGGAAAAATACTCGTAATTACTGGGAGCTTACTGAGCTTCGTGCCAGAAATTGGACAAGGACAGGGCCAAAGGACGAAGGAGCAGGATTGCGGGCGGAATGTTTACGGCCAAGTTACTATGTGAGTTTTGTGCACGCGATCAACTGTTGAATTTGTGGGTGTATCGGTTTCTGGAAGGATGTGCCCGGGGTTTTGTGTGATTTGCGACGAGGTCGCATTAAAATAAAATTTACGAGTTTCGCAGATACGTGAATTAGGAAATTGGCGCGTAAAAATAACCTCGAACAGCGGATAATACCCCTCACCACCTCTCAAAGGGTGTGTAGGCGTCGACAGTTGTTGTTCGTTGGAATTGTTAATTAGTCTTTGGGGTAATTCCTAACGTGCTCGGGTTCTATTCCATTTACATTACACATACGCCGCGTGGTGCCATTAAAATCGATTAAAGGCTAACCACGGATGCGCGCGGCTTAGTCTGTTTTGGTTTTCCATATCTCTCGTATGTGCAAGTCTTTAGTCAGATGTTTCAACTGGCAGCTGAGATGGAGCGGAGATGGGCCAATTGTCGGCTAGACAAGACAAGAGTTCCAAATTGGCCTCCGGGGAAATTGGTCTGTCCGTTCTTCTGCCTGTGTGCCTGCCTCGAATTTGGCATGCATAAGTGACACAATTTACTTAAATATTGATAAACAAATGTGTTGGGCAAGCTGTTGGACTAAATTGTGTTGATTAGCTGGGAATGGGGGATTGATTGGACCAGCGAAGAAAGAGATGCTGCAGAAAAGCGGTTGTATATTGTCAACTTAATAAATTTATTTGTGATTAAAAACAAAATTAAATAGATAGCTCAAAAACTGAGAGATTGACAAACTGCTGACTGAAATTTGTTTAATACATTTATTGGACCTGAGTAGGAAGTCATTAAATACAAAGGTATCCTGTGTCAAATTGAAGTTAAATGTCTTAATTCTATGATAATGTTTTAAAAAACAGTAATATATACGTATAAATAAAACTAATTATTAATTAAGGCATTAGAATTTCCACTCATTTGTGTGCTATTCTGAGCTTTGGGTAATCTAAACTCACTTTTCGTCTGGCGGCGGGGGCATCTCGATGCCATTGGGTGTTCCCGGGGGCGACTTCTCACTGACCCTGTCCATGGCCTCCTCCATCGGCGGCAGCGGGCTCACCGAATTCGTGTCCATGTGAAAGCAATCAATTTTGATGCCGCTGCTCTTTTCACTGCATTGCGAGGAGAGATACATTTATGAGGCTCGGCATTTAAATGTGGCATTTTAATAGAGAGAACAACAGAGCAGCAGTAGGATTCCCACTCCGATTCTGATTCCACATCCGCAGGTCTCATCTGGTGATGAATGGCGGCGCCGCTATATGTCTGCACATACATAACATATATATATATGGGCCTTTGAAATGGGGGGAACACTGCCCCCACAAAAACCAAACATAATGAGGGGGGAAGCCGCTTTTCGTGGAGGGAAAATGGGAGAATGGGAAGCAGAAATGGCTTTTGGCATTTATTTTTGGCGACTCCACAAGGTGGCAAAAGTGCAGCGTCAACTGAAGTCCAGGGCATTGCACTTGGCTCGCTCTGTGTTTTGGTTTCAGACTTTTGTTCTTTTTTTTTTATTTTTTTATTGCCGCCTCTGCCATGTGTGAAATTGGCTCATCACACGTCCGAATGCGTTCTGCAGAAAGCGCCAATTTCCGATTCATGTCCGTGTCAAGTTAAAGATACTCCAGATACTTCAGATACTCTGACTCAGACCGTGTGTGTGTGTGGGTACCCTTTTCCCCATTTTCCTTTCAATCAATTATTATCGGACATTCTAGTTCTTGGGGGTTCGTTGAACCCGATGCGGAGACACTTGATGGACACATCAATGCCTGGCATTTGCTGATGCCCAAGCCGACTTCCTTTGCCCAGTCAACCAGCAAACCAATCCAACCGTCAACCCCAATCCGCCCCACCATTCGGAAATTCCTGCGATTCGTTTGCATAGCCCACACCACATGTCCAGTTCCCACGGACGGACCATGGGGATTGACTTTTCCTTTGACTGGATTAGGTTGATTATACAGGTCACAACTTGGGGGTATTATTAGCAAATGACACAGCTTTGGATTGTGGGTGCATTCAGTTCTATTCAGATTGGTACCAGCAGTCTTTTACCCTCAGTCAGTGGTTTTACATCAGTAAAATAAAGAGTTTTAAATGTCAAACTCTCTTGGGTAGGCAAATCATGATCATTTAATCATTTAAATATATTCGTTAAAAACTCGAATGTTCTTTACTTAGTTTGTACAAAATAATAAAATAAAAAAAATACAATATTGATTACTAAACGATTCAAAGTGAAGATAAGTATACTCAAATTGACATCCGACTAATAGTTGGGTGTTTTTTAATTGCTTCTGTTGACGTTTCAATATACGTTATAAAGAATTTGTCTTCTGAACTCTATTACAATATTAGGATTTCACAACCCTAGTTTTAATATATTTTTATGTGCATTTTTTTTAAGAGCTAAGATATTGTTTTTCCTCGAGTGGAGACCTACTTTCCAAGCCTCGATTGCTTTGGGCTACTTTCTAGAGAGGAAGCTGGACATTATGCAACCCCACAGCTGCTGACGCTGCCCATATCTGCACCAAATGGAGGAAACCAACAAAGCGAGCAGCCAAAAAGCCACTCACAAAAGAAGACACCCGAATATTTCGGTGCCCGGATATGCAGCGACTTGTGCAGAGCGATTGTCAATAAAGGGAAATGCGGAAAATGGGGCTTCGGCAGGGGGATGGACAATCCCCAGAGGCTTCACAATAGGCATCCTTTTTGTGGCAGAGGCTTAATAATAATCCGATTTGGGATTGCTGAGTTCTATGCTTGATGCACTCTTATGAGAAACCGGCTAGCAAAGCGGAACCGGAAATGCTGCTGCTGTTGTTTTTGCCACTCTCGTTTAACTGTCTTTGAAATAGCTGAACCTACCCCAAGTTACTTTGGCGTGTGCGGTGTCAAAAAACCCTTTTCTATGAAAACTTAATTACTCAATTATGCACAAACTCTCCGCAGATGGTGTATATGCTTAATTGGATTTGTGGTCGCTTCAACGAGCTGGAATTTAACAATTTTCCACAATTAATTCATCTGCCCGAACGCGAACACGAGTGCATCCCTCCCGTGGATATGGTATGGATCAAAGAGGAGCTGCTGCTGATGGATGCGGTTAAAACTCCGCAAACAAACCGGCGCGAAACCCGCACTCCAAAGCACTAACACGCGTCTGAACTCCACGAATGCTGCGAGCGAACTAAACAGTGCGGCACTGGGCAAATTGGCTGGGGCCGCAATGGAGCACCACTTCGGCTGAGAACGGCACTGCACACTGGTGCCAAATTTCAATTTGGGCTTATAGCCTCTGTGTTGCAATTCTTAAAAATTGTACCAAACAAAAATATGTTGAAGAGACAACAAAAACATTTTTCAAAATACAATTTAAATGCAATTTATTCCATTTATGTAATAAAAGCTTAAAATCTAACGACTATGTTGTTATTTTCAATTATAATCTATTTTGAAGTATTTTTGTTGTATGTTAACACGTAAATGGTGTTTTATTTTGTTTCATTGCATTTTTATCCACAATAATGAAGAAGTCTAAGTTCTTCTTCTGAGAAATAGTACTTGTAAATAAAACTTAGCTCCAAATCTTTAGGCCGCAGGATGTTTATCCAATCGCTAGCTAAGCCAAATAAACCTTTAGATATGATGAGCACTTTTAGAACTTATTCACAATTCATTGTTAATAATAACTGTCTAGGAGTGAAAAATCTTTGCGGCAGTGCACTTAACGACTATTACTTGTATCGTTATATTAAAAAAAGAACTCCAACATAAACGTTATTTAAGATTTTAAATATAAAAATCTTCAGTTCAATCGTTACACGGCATTTTAAGTTAAAAAAGTATAATTTGCAGTGTAATGGACATTTTGAAATGAGCGCCTAATATAATTCGGTCGAGCTGGCAGCACCAAACTTGTTGTTATCGATATTCTGCCTACACATTGTGTAATGCCCCGCTTACACTTTGAATGCGATGTAAGTACTTATATTTACTTGAGTGGTGTTAAATAAAGAGTGCATTTTAGCTGATGTTAAGAATTTTAACAGAAAGTGTGCAAGAAATGGAGTGCGAAGTTAACAGCTTATCGTTGGAGACGGCACAACTTCGATGATCCCTGTTAAACACGGATAGGACCGATATTTTGAAAATCAGTTGGCATCGATGTTGACATCGTTGTTTCTCCACCCCTAGCGGTGAATTTGCGTGCTTGTGGTGGGCTTGTGTTTTTCAGTGAAATGTTAGCGGAACCTAGGACTAACAGAGAAATGTTAGGGTAACGTCCGACTAACGAAAGAGATGGACGGATAAGTATCGATAATCTCTGTTAAATATCAATAAGTTCGATATTTTGAAAACATCGATGTCATCGATGTTTCTACACCCTGTGCCCCACCTCTATCCCTCTTTTCTTTTCCCGTTTCCGGTGAGTGGCGTGCTCCGCGTTGAATTTTTGCCATTTTTTAACAAAAATATCTCTTATTTCATTGCAGTGAGGAGTAAATACGAGAATACAAACGGCAAAATGGTGAGTGGTCAAAAAATAAGTGGAAAGTGAGGCGTCTAGCAACAGAGGCTCCGATGTATGATGGAACTGTTGTACGCCCTGTGTAGCGAAAATGCGAAATTAGCGTGGCTTGGCATGCAATTAACCAATGTTTTGTATTGTCTTGCAGTCGCTCGTCATCCCAGAGAAGTTCCAGCACATCCTGCGTATCATGAATACGAACATTGACGGCAAGCGCAAGGTGGGCATCGCCATGACCGCCATCAAGGGAGTGGGTCGCCGCTACTCCAACATTGTGCTGAAGAAGGCCGATGTGGATCTTACCAAGCGCGCCGGTGAATGCACCGAGGAGGAGGTAAGCCAGTGCAGCTAGTTATCCCGGCACACTCACTAATCTGACATCCCCGCTTAATCCCAGGTCGACAAGGTGGTCACCATCATTTCGAACCCTCTGCAGTACAAGGTGCCCAACTGGTTCCTCAACAGGCAGAAGGACATCATCGACGGCAAGTACTGGCAGCTGACCTCCTCCAACTTGGACTCCAAGCTGCGTGACGATTTGGAGCGTCTGAAGAAGATCCGCTCGCACCGCGGTCTGCGCCACTACTGGGGCCTCCGTGTCCGTGGCCAGCACACCAAGACCACCGGTCGCCGTGGTCGCACCGTGGGTGTGTCCAAGAAGAAGTAAGCTGCTACGTTCCCTGCCGGATTTCCGAGTCTACACTTTAATTTTTACATCAACCTCAAAATAAAAGAAAACACGGAAGCCGGAACGTTTTAGTGCGGAGTAAACGTGAAGTTTGTTATATTTCTAAATTGTCGACGTGCTGTATATCCATCAAAATAGTTTAAACATGTCCAGTGGTCCTTCGCCGGCGAAGCAACAGAGCAGCATATGCCTGCTGTGGCTGGTCGTCTGCAAGACGGTTCGGTTTCAGCTGGCCAATACGGTAACCACCGTTCTCATCATTGTGGGTCCCATCATGGTGTTCCTCATCTATTCGGCCACAGTTCTGTTCCGGGAGCAGCAGATGGAGCAAAAGCTCCCACCCATCAATATGACATCCGGAGTGGCGTATGTATACTGACTGCCACTACGATCCAGGCCACCCTGACACACCCAATGAAGCAGGTACATTTACTACTCTCCTGGGAACCTGGTGTTGGCCGGGGTCATCGAGGATGTGGTCTACGGTCTGGCGGCCAAAGGTAGCCAGGCCTTTTATAGCGCAGAAGAAATGGATCGTGCTCTCTCACAGAAGGGTACCTTTGGATATGTGGGCATTGAGTTTGATGACGGGCTTAGAGAAATTAACGTTCTTCCCGACAAAGTATCGGTGGCTCTGCGCTTCCCCCTTCACCTGCGCAGCAATCCCAAGTTGATTTGGAAGAACAATGCCATTTTCAAGCACACAAATCTGGAAACAGATTACTATAATGTCGAGGGATTCTTGAGTGTGCAGGCCAAGCTGAGTGCGGCGTTGATCTTGGCTAAAAAAGAGAGCGCCATCCTGCCGGAAGTCATAGTGCAGCACTATCCCAGACCCAAGCATTTGAAGGAAACGTTTTCGGGCAATAGTGTGGCCCTAGCCGGGATCCTCTTCATGCCCTACACCATAGCCGCTGCCTATCTAGCCCGCGTATGCATAGGATTGGGATGAGTTTTATGCTGTTTGGCTGATTAGTATTTTTCAGGTGATTGTTATGGAACGGCGACAGCATATGCGGGCCATGTTGCAACTTTTGGGCGTGAGGGCATGGATATACTGGCTCTCCTGGTTCCTGGTGGGCTTCCTCATCCTGGCCATTCCCACCTTGTTCATGGGCCTCCTGCTGAAGTGGCGCTTCTATCCGCTGAGCGACACGTCCGTGGTGCTAGTCTTCTTTCTGGTCTACAACCTGGAGGTCTTGTGCTCGGCCTACATGATCTCGGCCTTTTTCTCGGACACCGTCAGTGTCCAGGTGGCCATCCTGATTGTGCACCTGCTCGGCAGCCTGCCCTGGCGCCTAATGCTGATGGGCTACAGGACCACTTTGCTCCGGACCCTGTTCGCCTGCCTCTTCCTGAACAGTGCGTTGGCCTTGGGACTGCAAGAGTTGATCGAGAATGAGAACCTCCACATGGGAATGAGTTGGAGTAGAGTCTTTACAAGGTGCAAATACAATATCAACTTGGGCATCGTTGTGTTGTTCATGCTGTTCGGCAGCCTTTGGCGCCTCCTTGTACTCGTGTACGTGGAACAGCTGAAAAGTGTTCGGACCAGAAGGTGGTACTTTCCGTTGCAGCCCTCCTACTGGTGCCCCCGGAAGGGTCGGCGGCGATTCACACCAGAATGGGATCTCGAGGGGCAGCCCATCGTTGTGCGGGCCAGGAACCTGGAAAAAGTCTTCAACGAACGCAGTGCGGTCAGCAATGTGAGTCTGAATTTTTACCAAGACGAGATCACAGTGCTCCTGGGTCACAACGATTCGGGAAAGACGACGCTTCTTTTGCTGCTGGCCGGCTTCCTGGAGCCCAGCTCCGGCGGGGTGACCATCAACGGCTACGACCTGGTCATCGAGCCGCGGAAGGCGCATCAGTCGATGTGCATTTGTCCGCAGCAGAACGTGCTCTTGGATAAGCTCAAGGCCAGGTGGCACCTCAAGTTCTACTGCCGGCTGAAGGGTCTGAGCCGGAAGGAGGCCTCTGCCGAGGCGGACAAGTACCTGGAGATCGGCCAGATGGAGGACTTTGCCAGCACCAAGGTGAAGCACCTACCCAGCGGCCTCAAGCGGATGCTCCTCCTCTGCTGCACCCTCTGCGGCAACTCGAAGGTTCCGTCTACGATGCTTGGCCACGTGGCTGTGTGTGTGGTCTAACTTCTCTTGAATTGCAGATTATCCTCCTGGACGAGCCCGGCACGAGTCTGGATCCGCTGCTGCGGCGCGACATGTGGGACCTACTGCGCCGGGAGCGAATGGGTCGCTGCATCATCATGTCCACCCACAACATCCACGAGGCCGAGGTGGTGGCCGACCAGATAGTGGTCCTCTGCGATGGCCAGGTGATCGGCTACGGCACCACGCGCTTCCTCACCCACCAGGCCGCTACGGACTCGTTTTATCTGCTGATCTGCACCAAGCTGGACGACTGCTTGGTGGCGTCGGTTACGGACTTCCTGCAGGAACGCTTTACGGACATCAAAGTGCAGAGCGAGTACGGCATTTATGTGACCTACAAGCTGCCCACCAGACATGTGTCGCAATTTCCGCGCTTGTTTCTGGAGCTGGAGCAGGCACTGGTCGAGCTGAGGATCCAGGAGTTCAGCGTGTGCGCCCCCACGCTGGGCAGTGTGTTCCTGCGGATCGGAGAGGCGATGAGGGAGGCCCGGGACCGGGACCGGAAAGAGTCCCTCAGCCCGTTGGCCAGCCCGTCGCCCATGTCGTCTCTACTCAGTAAGTGCCAACCAAAACTTAAATACCCTTTAATATTTTAAGCCAGGATAGGATAGTTTAGTTTGCTAAGATAGTTTAGTTTCTGGAGTAAAGTATAGCCAGCTTAGAAAAGGCTGGGTGTATATATGGGCATATGTATTAAACATTTAATAAGCCTCTCCCTCTTAAGCAGCAAACTTCTAAATAACCTCACTTAACTGTGATTTGGAGAGCCCCAAAATACTGGGTCACTAATACGGTTGATCAGGACGGCTGTTACGGTTTTCACTTTCAAAATTTAGATTTCCATAAATGTTTATATTAAGTCGGTTTTCAAAAAATAGTAAACAAATAAGCGCTCTATAACCTATGCATATTAGAAAAAAATAGTCAACAAGTTCAAGTTTATATACCCTTGCAGCTATTACAAAAATTAAGTATTTTTTAAGCGACTATATTTTTATCAGTTCGGTATATGTATGTTTAAAAACAAAAAATTTATGTCGATTATCCGAGGAATTTTTCAATCGTTCCTATGGCAAATATATGAAATCGTTGTCCGGTTTCAATAAAAGCAAAACCCGTAATTCTGAAATAGGAAATTATGATTATCATTATTATTTTAATCTATTTTCCCAATTGTTCCTGCGTGAGTTAAAAGCGTAGGTAAGCGTAAAGTTTCTCAATTATTGTTCCCAAGTTCGGATCTTTCCTAAAGCAGCTCTATAATTATTAAATTAAAGCCGTATATTTGAAATTAGCTGATACATAAACTAAAGCAGCTTTATGATTTTTAAATAAAAACCGTATTTTTGAAACTCGATGATAAATATGAATATAAATCGGAGCATATACTATATACCTTCTGCAAGGGTATAAAAACTTATTGAAAACCAAAACTCAAAACATCAGTTCCAAATATGATATCCTCGAGCCCTGAAAATTTTAAATAAACACTTTACTGCGCACCTATTTTAAAATATAATGAAGAGTATATTGCCTTGGTCAGTTGCTAAATGTACTTTGCTCGCGATCTGCAGATCTTCTGCCCAGCTTCGATGTGCGCGAGGACGATGGTCGGGTGAAGTGCTGCAACCAGTGGCGGGCCATCATGGAGAGGCGGCGACTGTTCGCGTGGCGCCACCGGTGGCTCTACTGTCTGATCGTGGCGATGCCGGTCATCATCTGCTTGCTGGTCATCTGCTTTGAGGTGTTCATCTTCATCATCGACTTTCGGTTGACCGAGCACTCAGTCACGGACCTGCGTGTCTATCCCACGGCGGTGCTTGTGATCGAATCGTCGGCGGACGACGATCCCATCGTCCAACAGTACAGGCGGAACGCCTTGGCCGGGGGAGCCACCGTTCGCGGCACAGGCGGCGCTGCCTTGGCCGACTATTTGCTGGAGCAGATGGCTGCGGATCAGGCTAATGCCCAGCTCACATTGTTGGCCGGCGTCACCGTCGAAGGCGGTGGCAAACCGATCATTGCCTGGGCGAACAACAGACTGGAGCACGGATCGGCGCTTTCCCTGGGCATGGTATACGCAGCCCTGGGCCAGGAGATGGCCCACCTGGAGATCGAGATTGTGAACAAGCCGTGCGCGGACACGATCGGCCAGTCACTGGCCGGCCTCAGCCGGAACAGCTTCGTGGAGTTCTCGCTGCTGGTGTTCATGTACCTCGTCCTGGCCACCACCATTTTCGCCGTACTGCCGGTCCTCGAGCGCCAGAGTGCCGTGCAGCACCAGCAGTTCAGCAGTGGCATGAGCCGGGTCACCTACTGGCTGTCGCATCTCTTCTGGGACTACTGCCTCTTCGTCGCCATGATCCTGTCGCCGATTGTGGTGGCCGCGTTCACCTCGGGTTCGGCCCTACCCTTGACCATCCTGCTGCTCGCCTACGGGTTCGCCGTCATTTCGTTCACCTACCTGATCAGCCAGATGTCCCAGGACCTGGGCAAGATGTTCATCATCATATTGTATATTAATATGATAGGTAAGGCCACTAATTTTAGGCAGCAAAAAATGTATTATGATAAGATTCATCTTACAGGCATTCTGGCTTTGTTCATCCATCCCAAGAGTGCTGATCTGCGCTACGGAGTCCTCGAGACCGTGCTCTTGATCCATCCACACTATGCGTTGTTCTGTGGCACGCAAGACATCATCAAAATGGATAAGGTCTTGAATGTCTACGAACCGCGTGTTAAAACGGGTAAGCTTGTCTTTGGGGTATATTAATTGGAATTCTATTGCTGACCGCATCGGCTTACCGAATTCGAAAGTGCTTTCCTATACCTACAGGTGGACGCAACTCCATTATCTGATGGTCAGCGGAGCTGTGTACCTGACTCTGCTCCTCCTCTCATGGGTTCCTCGACGCATTGGCTACGCCTTCAAGTAGGAAACTAAACAAACGCCTCTTGTATGCCCATTAATTTGCAAGTGTTTTGCAGAACCATCAAGAACGAAAAAATAGAGCCAGACCAGAAAGATGAGGATATAGGTGTAAACAGAATCCGGCAGAGATTGTCCCTTCTGACCACCAAAAACTATGAGCATTTCCCACTCATCTTGAAGAACGTATCGAAGCGCTACGGTAGTTTGTTGGCAGTGCAATCCCTGACGCTGGACCTCAATCCGTGAGTAAAACACATAATTGGGAACATGGTGGGACATGTATTGTTAGCCATTACTTAAGCATATTAATCAAAAAATGAATTAGATCCTTTTAAAAATTATTTTAAAATGCTCAATTCAGTTTAAGTCTATATCTGCGTGTTTGGGCACCTTTTTATCTTTCTTCGACATCCTGTAGTTTAAATGTTTGAATTTAATGTTTGTACTTATACAAACACTGACAACAAAATAACTTAAAAATAAAAACAATTTATAATATTAAAGACAACCCTTAGGAATTGTATGAATTAAGACTATAAAATATAAATTAAAGTGAGAATTACAAGATTCAAAATTTTAACTTCATAGTTTAAGTTAAAAATAGTTTTTCAAAATTTTTGAAAACTATTGCGAAAATAGTCAGTAAAATATTTTTAAAAATGATTAATTCAATAATAATAATTTAAAATAACTTAAAATAGCAACATTTGAAAAGAGTGAGAAATACTTGAATTTACTACGTTATTTTTACCATATGTTAGTATACTTGTAAAAAATGGAGGCATTTTTAAGCTACCCATAACACTTTCTTGTACCAGGTTCGAGTGCCTCGGCTTGCTGGGACGGAATGGTGCAGGAAAGTCCAGCACCTTCTTCATGATAGTGGGCATGAGATCGATCACGGTCGGCAACATTCACATCAAGGGCTACAGCTTGAGGAGTCATCCCAAGGAAGGGCTGCGGCACGTGGGCTTCTCTCCGCGGGAAGAGATGCTGTCGTTCTACATGACTGGCCGGGAGACGTTGCGCTACTGGTGCCTGGTCAACGGCATCCGGCGGAGTCACGTGCGGGAATTGGTGAGGACATTGGCCGATTGCTTCGGACTGGTGCTCCACCTGGACAAGCGTGTCAGCACCTACAGCAACGGCACCAAGCGGAAGCTGATGATCGCCATGGCCATATTGGCACCGACCCTGATATGCCTCGATGAACCCACAGCCGGCGTGGACATGCACGCCAAGTACGACATCTGGAAGATCCTCGAGAGCATCCGGCAGGGCGGTCGGGCCATCCTGCTCACCACGCACAGCATGGAGGAGTGCGAGTTCCTGTGCACCAACGTGGGCATCATGGATCGCGGCTCGCTGCTCTGCTACGGCTCCTTGGCGCACCTCAAGAACCGTTTCAGCAAGGGCATCTTCGTGAAGGTGAAAGTGGGCACCACCTCGGAAATGGAGCGTGCGAGGGAGGAACGGGAGCGAATCAACTCGACGGAATTAATTTATAGGGAAAGCGGAAGCACGATGGGTTCCCTAAGGATGTCGCTGATGCACTTGGAGAGGCATCGTAAGCCCCAAGTGGAGGGAGTCAGGAAGTTGGAAGAGCAAGCAATCTCCGAATCGGACATCCGGGGGGACTATGACCTCCTGCTACAAAGATTGGAGGAAATCTTCAAGAGAGACCATCCCTATAGCAGCGTAAGGTATGTACACATCTCAATAAAATATTTACATAAGTGCGTAGTCAGGCAACTTTAAATTCACTCTAAGACAGAAGCATCGTCCTAAATGTTTCTTTCAAAATAAAATTACATAAATCTTTAAGTTAAAGAAAATCTATATTTTACTATCATATTTATACCCTTGCAGAGGGTATTATAATTTCAGTCAGAAGTTTGCAACGCAGTGAAGGAGACGTTTCCGACCCTATAAAGTATATATATTCTTGATCAGCATCACTAGTAGAGTCGATCTAGCCATGTCCGTCTGTCCGTCTGTCCGTCTGTCAGTCTGTCAGTCTGTCCGTCTGTCCGTCCGTTTATATGCAAACTAGTCTCTCAGTTTTAAAGCTATCTGCATGAAACTTTCCCAAAAGTTGTCTTTCTATTGCAGGTAGTATATAAGTCGGAACGAGCCGGATCGGACGACTATAGCATATAGCTCCCATAGGAACAATCGGAAAAATAATTGAAAAAAATTATAACTTTGCTGTTTTTTAATTTTTTGTTTTGTTCTTCGACATAAAGCAATGGTTAAATATTTCAGAATTATGGTTAAAATTTCATCAAAATCGGACGACTATAGCATATAGCTCCCATAGGAACAATCGGAAAAATAATTGAAAAAAATTGTAACTTTGCTGTTTTTTAATTTTTTGTTTAGTTCTTCGACATACTGCAATGGTTAAATATTTCAGAATTATGGTTAAAATTTCATCAAAATCGGACGACTATAGCATATAGCTCCCATAGGAACAATCGGAAAAATAATTGAAAAAAAATTATAACTTTGCTGTTTTTTAATTTTTTTTAGTTCTTCGACATACAGCAATGGTTAAATATTTCAGAATTATGGTTTAAATTTCATCAAAATCGGACGACTATATCATATAGCTCCCATACAAATAATAAAAATATATAAAAGAACAATCAAATAATTAAGCTGCAAATCGTCATAGCTTCAATGTTTTTAAACATATACGCAAGTAAATCATAATTTTAATGTTTTCAAAAATATTTAATTCTTGCGATAGCTGCAAGGGTATATAAACTTCGGCTTGCCGAAGTTTGCTTTCTTTCTTGTTTTTTTTTCAAAAGATATCTTTAAAATCTTTTTTTTTTAATTAAAAATTAAATTTGTATGCTTAAAAGGGATTTCCGAGGGTGACATAGAAATTTGTTCGGTTTAAATTTGTTAGTACATATGTACATTAGGGTGTTTTTTTTGTATCATATAAAAAATTCTAAATTCGCCCTAATATACATACATACATCGTATTTACATTTCAACCGAATTTTAACCAAAGTGATTTCTGTGACACTCCCTATGTTTGCTTTACACTCATACGAGCGAAAGCAAATAACATTTAGATATAGGCTGTCAGTACTGCTAGATACCCTCCATGTGCATATATATTTCATCATTTACTTTATTATTATTTGCAATGCTATGTAAACAGATAAACAACAATCCTCATATACTATAGTTGCAGGAAGTCCACAAATGGATCCACAAATAAAAGTAAAGTCGAAGTCATGAAGTATTTTAATTAAATTAAACTATATAGATATAAAAGAGTATCACTTTTATCACTCATACGTACTGTTGCCTTTAATCAGTTCAGTGACATTCAAGCATTAAACCACACTACTTTTGTGACATTTCTATGTGTTATATCTGCTTTCCTTTTCCCCAGCGAGAAGTACACTTACCGAGGAATGATTACCTTTTGTATTCCGAACGAGATGATCAAATGGTCTGCAATCTTTTTGTACATGGAGAACTTAAAAACTGAAATTCAAATTTTGTACTACTCAGTCAGTCATACGACTTTTGAAGATGTTTTCATGGATTTTGTGAGAAAGCACAATCAATAGAAAGCAAATTTCTTTATGAATCATACTATTTTATATATAGTATATGAACATGTAAACCTGTGGACTTATCGTATCGGTAGTGACTGCTGTTCGGATAGCTATGCATATGTGAAGGTTTCTGCCACTAAATGCTAACAAATCGCATATTTAATCAGAAAGTAAACAAATCAAGCTATTTCGCCGATTAATGAGGTGGCCTTTTGGGTATATTTATACTATCTAAAGGAAGCAATTATTGAAATTTTATGTATATATTTTATAATTTGGCGTACGAATTAATTTTTATAAATAAAGTGATTGCCTCCTTTATCTTCAATACACTTTTATTTACAACAAAATAAAAAACAAAAACAAGCGTAACAAAAGGGTAAACAAAAGTCGCTCAGAGTTTAACTAACTATTATTTTCTGACGCTTTCGGTTCTTCTTTCGCTAGAACATTAGCCAAAAATGTGTGTCATGCGAGTCTATTGGTACTTTGAACCCTCGATCAGAAAACTTTCCACAAACAAGATATGTTAACGATGTTTCGACATATTTCAATTGGCGTTTGTTTACAGACAAACCCATTCTCGTGGTGACCCATGCCTTTTCCAATTCTTAGCAATTTGCTGTCCCCGACCCTCAATTAGACTTTGTGCCCGCAAGGCGCAATTGTCAATTGGCAAAGGTAAGCGCACAGATTTATGCCATTCGTTCCAAAATAGATTTTTCATCGAGTACGCAATGCGGGGAGAGCCTTGGGCAACCTTGATAGCTGATAGTATACGAATTTGCTTATCGGAGTAAATTCTCAGCTCATCGTGATTTCGGAGAAGCAAACAAAACACATGAGCTGCTCAAAGTAATTCTTGAAATCCAAGCCTAATGTTTTCAGAACACAAAACGTCTGTTTTCTCAGTCACATTTTGTAGAACAGTTGTTTTTAATGGTCAGCAGTTTGATTTTACAAATGCATACATATAATATAACTTTCATAGCTTATTATTCAAAATTGATTGTGACACAACAAGCGTATATACATATGTAAATGTTTCTATAGTACATTTGTGTAATCTAAAGGTACATATATATGTAAACACAATTCACAATGAAAGAACATTTTAGTAACTATTTATAGGGGTGCTCATTGTGTATATATATAAAACCCTGACCTAGAGCTGTACTATGTAAATGAAAGATTGGAAACTATGAAAATATCGAGCAATTCAGGGATCAAATTAAATTAAGTTAAGTAGGTATGAACATAAATATTCCAGCAAAACTAAGTGTACAACTAAATCAATAATTTATGTGGGCATTGTGGCTGTCAATGGCCAACATGGGAAAGTAATCGGCCAACACGCTTCAATGTAGTTATTGTCGCTTCTTAAAGTCTGTTGAGGTAATATTCTTCTCTTTAGATATAATTATAAAAAACATTTGACTAATCTACGAGGCCACTTAACGATCAGCTTGTGAACATTTGCAACACCGTTAATAACTAATAATTATCGTTGTTTATATGTATATGGAAGACTCTGTTCTGGTCGCTCTGTATGCAAGTTTAGTTCACACAGGTATACAAAAAGGTCACATAGTTATGCACTTTTAGGTACGACATCCGTAACAAGACTAATCTAATTCCTCCTGCAAATTCCTAATTGTTCATAAATATATTACTCTAAAACTTAATCGGCCGGAACTACTGATGAGTTAGCTTGGTGAGCGTCTCATCCTGAGCCAAATTGTTTCGTTGTTCCGCTTGGCGACGCCAGCGACGAGACAGTATGGGTGCAAATAGGTCGTAGTCCAGTTGCTTCTGATACTTGTCCAAATAGATTTCCGAGTTTTCTGTCCATCCAAAGTGCGCCAGCACAATACTGCTGCCATAGCCGACGACCACGGCGATAAGAAAGCCGATCACACTTAGCCACATATAGGAAATTCGATATAACCAGAAGTAGTGCGGTTCGATGACCACTGGACTGCTATTAGCGCCGAGTTCAATGGCATGTGCTAGGAGCGCCGTGGCATTTGTACATCCGGAGGTGCTAAACTCTAGGGTAACGGGCTTTGGTTTGGGTCCGCCAAAACCCATCCAGAAGGAAACCAACAGCGAGACAAGGAATCCCAGAAGCACGCCACGTTGATTGGTGCGCGTAGTGCCGACACCCAGGGTGAAGACGGCCAGCAGCGGTCCGCCCACAACTCCGAAAATGGTGAGCGAGGCCTGAAGGACTCCACCCATGGAGCCAGCCACGAACGCCAGTCCGATGCAGAGCAGTCCGAAAATACAGGCCACCACCTTTGTGGGCAACGTGGACTGGGAGTCGACGAGCGTGCGCTTAAATATCGCCTTGTACAAGGGCTTCAGGTAATCCTCCAGCGTTACTGCCGAGAGTGAGGTAACTGCCGACGAAATCGTAGAGAGACTGGCGGAGAATATTCCGGAAACGAAAAGGCCGCACAATCCAGGATATTGACCTGCCGGAAAAATAACAGAAATTAGAGAAATTCTTTAGGGGATTCCCTAAAGAAAAACTCACCCATAGTGTCCAGTGCGAAGAGCGGCATGACCTGATCGCGCTTCTCGATGCGATGCTCCAGCACCGGATCACAGTCGCGGTAGTAGTAGAATATGGCCAGCCCACTGAAGATGGTGCTGAAGCTAAGCATTCCCAGGATGGGTAAGTTCCACCAGAGCGCCGACTGAGCGCTCCTCAAATTGCGTACACTCAGCAGCCGCTGGACTTGCGTCTGATTGACTCCGTAGAGGGAGAGGTAGGTGACCATGCCGCCAATGATGAGTGACCACCACGTGTGCCTTACGGTGGGATCCAGGGAGAAGTCATCGAACTGCACACGGCCTCGCTCCACCGCCACCTCCCAGATGGCCGCGAATCCTCCGGCTTTTATGGCCGAGACGGCAATCACCGCATAGATGGCGGCGAACATGAGGAAGGACTGAAACACATCCGTAATGAGCACCGCCTTCAGTCCGCCCAGCGTAGAGTAGAAGGTGCACACCAGTCCGATGACCACGATGGCCATCGACCGCGGTATCTCGGTCACCGCCTCCAAGGCGAGGGCCGGAGCATAGAGGGCGATGCCCATGTAGAGGATCATTTGCACGGTGAAGGCCAGGGAGGCCGACAGCCGGGTGGCCTGGCCGAAGCGCCGCTCCAGGTACTCGTACACGCTGGTCGTCCGCATCCTGTAGAACACCGGCAGGAAGAGGTAGGCGGCAATGGGCGTGCTCAGCACGTAGGCAATGTTGATCACGCAGAACATGGTGCCGAACTCGTAGGATTCGTTGGATACTCCCATCAGCGAGATGGCCGACATGAAGCTGGCCATCAGACTGAAGGACACTGGGAATGTGGTCATGCTCTGGTCCGCCATCAGGTACTCCTGTGTGGTCTTCTGCTTGCCGCCCGTGTAGCGGTAGTAGATGCCGATCAGGGCTGATATGACCAGGATGCTGATCAGGACAGCCGTGTCCCAGGCGTCGAACGTTCCCACGGGCATCTTGCCGCTGCTAGGGCTCTCCGCTTATCAGCGCACGGAGGTCGACGTCCGTCACCAATCCGAATTGATTTTCCACAAACGTCACTGGCAGTGATTGAACGCCCGACACAACGACCTTTCCCGCAGTCAGCGCTTTCTAAACTGGGCGCAAGTGCACGGCAACGGGCAAAAACAAAACACGCTTGCCACCGAAATCAGTGCGCAGATAGAAACGTTCTCGTTCTCGCGAAAGCTTCGACCGTTAAATAACTGATCAGCTGCGCTGCGAGTGTGACCTTGCCTGGGTAGTTTAAATAAGCCAGCACATTACAAATACTGAAATACGGTAACACCAGAGGAAGAGGGCTGCCAGAGTTGATTTTTTTCAACGGTACTCGGTCGTTATGAAGTTTCCCATCAAATTAAGAGAGATTTTAAATTAAGGACACATATTTTTCCTATACTTAATAATATATTTATTCGTATTTTTTGGCCTTTTTTCCATCAAGTTAAGTTAATGTTTATGTTTAATTAATTTTGGGTGTTCGTCAGTTAGGGAATATCAAAACTTTTGTGTTGAACTAAATAGATGAAAATATCCAGGAAGTTTATATAAAGTGAGGCTAGGGGCTAATTGATTTTTTTTAAATTTCAGAAATTGAAATATAGTACCTCAAATAAACTCTAGCGATGTGGCAACTACGTGGCGCTATGGTCACACTTCATCTTCCCGCCCATTGTTTTGCTCAATTGGTTGTTGTTTACGTTCTGCAAATATGGAACTGATGGAGGTGGATGAGTGCACCCCCCAGCAGTAAGTGCCCCTGTCGACATTCCAAAGGACCCTTAACCCTGATTCCATTCAATAGCTACGTGCGCACGCCGGAGGATGTGAAGATCATCGTGAAACACGCCAAGCTGGACGAGCGCCAGCTGACCCAGCTCACGCAGGCGCTGTACTTCCCCTCGGCGGACGTGGACTCCGACAACCTGCGTCTCCTCGAGCTGGACGGGCACATGCTGGAGCAGATCCGCGACGGCCAGACGCTGCACTTCAAGGGCGGCCAAAACGAGAAGGTGGTGCTCTGCACCGACGAGCGAACGTACGACGTGAAGGGTGCCGAGATCTCCAACAGCCTGCTCCTGGTGCCGGACCTGAAGTTCGCCGCTGCCACCAGTACTTCACCGCTTAAAAGCCCACGCACAGGCAACGCCAATGCCTCCCTGGAGCGGAGCCTCAACGACAGCACGGAGGACGAGCTGGAGGTTCCGCGGACTCTGGAGCAGCGTCACGTCCTCAAAGTGTTCCACGAGTACTTCGAGTGCCGCGAGATCAAGCCGCGTTTCCGCAAACTGGGCGAGCTCCTGCAACTGACTCGCTATTCGGGGCCCGAGAACGAGTTTTGCGTGGAGCAAAAGCTGCTCTTCACCTTGTCCCAACTTCTGGACACGGTGCAGTGCAGCCGGGCACAGTTCATGGAGGGATTGAGCCACTATCGAGCCATAGAGCTGGACGGCCGGATGCGGGTGATGGAGTACGAATACGAGTACCGCACCATAAGTCTGATGCTCGGAGTGATCAGCGAGAACTCCTGGGCACTGGACGAAGTGGAGAGAGAGGAAACCATCAATGCCCTGAAGGGCATTGCTCCCGAGGACGTTGTGGCGGGGCTTTTCGATATCTATACCACTCCCAGCGATCGGTGTCCGGGAAAGTTTGAGTACAAGGAGTCACTGGTGGCCAGGATTGTGGCACAGAACATTCTCCAGCCCGGCCTGCGATTCCGCAACGAGGAATTCATGCGCACCTGGCAGGAGGCGCTGCCCGAAGGCATGGCCTGCCACTTGAAGTACCTTCGAGGTCTGGGTATCTGCGACAAGGAGGGGGCTCAGCCCTGCATCCGCTCGCTGGCCGAGGAGCAGCTGCCCACCACGATCAATGATCGTATGAAGGCTATGTTCAAGACCAAGAAGAGGTGGACAATGGAGGAAATGGAACCGTACATAGAGTGAGTTGATAACAGCAGTTTTGGGATTTTCTAAAGTTTTTTTTCAATCCAGATGTTTTACTACCCCCACTTTGTCCGTATCCACGCTGCTGGCCAAGCACGCCCGGTCTTTAACAGACGGAGGTGTGAGATACTTTGTGTCAAAGCATTGATTGAAGCATCCAAAATTGTAACTCTTTTATCCATTATTTAATAAAGGTAGTTTAAGTTTGTCCTAGGCATTCCTTTTACGTTTGTTGCGATCCTTTTTGGCCTGCTTCTGGTCTTCTATGGCCGCCTTCATGGTGTCCACGGCACTTTGGGAGTGACTCGTGGCCAACTGAGTTGCCTCGCTGTTGGGGTACTTAAAGCTGAATCCTCTGGGAAAGATCGGTTTGGCCAGAAGAGCGTTAAGCTGGGCTCTGACTGTCTCCACTCGCAGGCGATTGCGCCGTCGTTCGATGACAAAGGGATCCTCGTCCTGGTCACTGCCCCTGCGTTTAGAAGTAATGAGTTGTAGTTCTCTACAAAATATGCCTTATCTATTAGACTTACGACTCGTCGTTGTAGCCATCGATGATCATGTCCATTTCCTCGGCATGCTTCTTCATCCAACCGCGCTCGCTCTGAACGCGCTTTAGTTTCAGTTCTTCCTTGTCCAAGTCGCGCGCCAGATTCACGCGTTCCCTGACAGCGGGGAGGAATCGTTCCGATATGGGAAAAAGTGGCAGATCCTCAGCTGAAATGGTTAGTGTTAAATAAACCATCTTTCGTTTTACCAATCCGACTACTCACTTCTCTCTAGTGTTTTGTACAGCTTCACATAGCTTTTGACCTCGCCCGGTTCCATGAACATGACGGTTATGCCGTGCTTATTGGCTCGGGCTGTGCGACCCGACCTGTGGACGTAGTTCTCACTGGTGCGCGGCACTTGGTAGTGGATCACATGCTCCACATTCGGTATGTCCAGACCTCGGGCAGCCACATCAGTGGCTATCAGCAAGCCCGTGGGACAGTCACGGAAGCGTTCCAGGTTCTTCAGGCGCTGCTTCTGGATCATATTGGCGTGGAGGGGCAAAGGATTGCAGTCCAGCAAGCCGAAGAGCGTGGCTAGTCGTTTGACACAGTCGATGGAATTGCAGAAGACAATGGTGCGACCGGGATGGCGCTGAATAAAGTAGTATAGATTGTAATCCTTATGATCGATTGGGCACAGCAGTCGACTCTCGGTCAACGTTTGGGCGGTTTCTGCAAAGAACAATTGTAAATGGGATATTTAACCTAATATTCACTTGAAATACTCACGCTGTGTGCTTGTTATGTCTACAATTTTGGGTTGCGAGATGCCTAGCTCCTCGATGAGGCTCTCAATTTTCTGATCCACCGTTTGCTTCACAAACTTGGGTCGTTTGCCCACATTGCGCTCTAAAAGATAAATTTAAAAAATAATTTAAAGGGATTAGGAGGTGATTAAGTTACATACTTTGCATGTGATCGGGAAGGTCATGAATCAATGTCAGCGTGGCCGAATAAACAAAGTTCTGGCGCTGATGCTTCTTCTGTTCATCCGAGTTAAGGACCTTGAGAAGACTCCTGAGCTCTTCAAAGTGCCCTTTCTCCACCATGCGATCCGTTTCGTCTATGACTAGGAAGCTTACATCCTCGATCTTGCCCAGATGTTGATTGCCCTGGGCGTAAAGCTCCCAGAGACGACCAGGTGTGGCCACAACGATTTCTGGACACTGTCGAAGCACGCGCTCCTGTTTGGCCACGGCAAGGCCACCGAAGATGGCTGCCACTCGAATGCCTGTGTACTTGGCAGCCGACACCAGATGATTTTTGACCTGCACGGCCAACTCCCGGGTGGGTGTGAGCACCAGACCGTACAGGGGGGTCTGTTTGCGCTGGGCATGCTCCTCCGCATCGCTTTCCTCTTCACTGGCTCCGGAAACATGATCCAATTCCTCCGGCGGAGGCGTCAACTCGTGCTCATCGGCCGCTGGCTCGGGCTGCTGTCCCTTCACCTTGGGCGCCTTTCGAATGCCAGAGAGAATGTTCCTTTGCTTCAGCTCCATGATGCCAGCCAGCATTGGTATGCCAAAGGCCAGGGTCTTTCCGCTGCCAGTTTCGGCTGCTCCCAGAATATCCTTTTTGCCGTGGATGGCAGCGGGTAGAGTCAAGGCCTGGATTTGAGTGGGTGCCTTAAAGCCCTGCTCGCCGAGGGCACGCAGGATGGGAGCGGGAACTCCCAGGCCGTTCCAGGCGGGGACATCTTCCACTTCGTCTGTGGAAATCGGCACTAGTTCTGGTGCCTCCTCGGCGCTGGACTCCTCTTCCGCCTGGGCGGCTCCTTCCTTATCATCCAAAGGCGGCGGTCGTAGAAGTGCAAAACGATCTTCCGGATATTCATCATTGGAATCCTCGCTGCTATCGTTTTCCTTGCCCTTTGCTTTTTTCTGTTTGCGAAGCTCCTTTCGCTTTTCCCGCTTCTCACGTAGTTTCTGCATTTTTTGGGCGTGCCGCTCGGCAAGACGAGCTTTTTTACTGGCCTTGGCTGCGGCCACCACGTCCTCTTCGCTTTCCGATTCGCTGGAACTCTCGCTGGAGTCCTCCTCTCCGCCCTTGGACACCTTCCTCTTTTTCTTCTTCAGTTTGCGTTCTCTGGCAGGATTGCGGGAACTGACCCTCTTCTGCGTGGACTTTACCAGCGCTGCATCGTAGTCCTTGAGGACCTCCAGACCAATCAATCCCTCGTAGCCACCGCAATCATCGGATATCACGTGGCCCTTGATTTTCACCTTTTGCCAGTTTTCCGCCTTGGAAATTGCATCCTCCTTGGCAGCACTTTTCGCTGCCTTTGGCGGCTTTGCGGTTTTCTGTTTATTCTGGACCATACTTGAAATGTTAAATTAAGAAAAAGTTGAATTTAACTGCAGCCCGCCGACCGCGTGTTGAATGCCTCTTCTTCTTGCTGCTGTTTGTTGACATGCACAGCTGTTCGGTGTTGGCAAGTGCCAGTTCTTCAGTGTTGAACAATGCCGAACTACAAACTCGAGCTTTGGCGGTTGTTTGAATGATGACTTAGGGGTCTACCTTAAAATACATTTTAAAATACATTTCCGTTAACGATGATTGTAAAAAATCGTTCATATTTAAAATAAATTTATGTATCTTGTCTTTTACGAAAACTAGTTCAAGAGCTTTAACACAAATATCACCTAGAATCTTCTCAACACACATTATTTTTCTAAGCTCTTTTGTTCATCAAAATATGCAGAAAGCATCAATTAGATACCATTTGTTAACACTTTTTTGACTTATTTTCAGGCTTCCAATTATCATTAATAAATATAGAAAATACAAAATATTAAGATAATTAAAATAAATAACTGGGGACAAATCCTTAATTCAAAGATCGTTCCATTTTTGAATAGTTTTTATTTACTGTGTGGTTTATCTATGCAAATCCAGTTTAATTCGTTTAACATTCTGCTCGCTCTAAATTAAAAAAACACTTGGCTCATATATTTGAATTACTGCTCGCCAGTCACGCCCAGCTTCTTCTTCAGCGATTCGGGCATTTCTGGTGGTGGTGGGCGTGGCATGCGGAGGAACACCTTGACGGCGTCGTAGATGAACCACTGGGCGGCAGTCAGGGTGCCGATCATCACGATCCTGGGCACCAGACCTCCCCAGAGTCCTAGAGAAAAGGAAGAAAGAAAAGATTTCAGATGAAGGAGCCACAGATAGACCCAAATAACACTACTTACCAGACCAACCCAGCTGCTTGGCCACGTCCAGGGCGGAGGCTCCCTTGGCCTGGTTCAGCTTGGAGACCACTGTGTCCGCCGGATGCGAGACAATGGCACAGAAGACGCCGGCAATGTAGCCGGCGGCGAAGGTCACCACCAGCTGCTCACCCTTTGTGCAATCGGCACGGGGCTTGGGCACCACATACTTGTAGAGCAGCTCCAGCGTGCGCTCGAAGCAGGCGAACTTCATCATGGTGTAGGGGATCTGGCGCATCCACAGCGGCACCAGGCCCTTGTAGAAGGCGGTCACGCCCTCCTGGGCCGTCATCTTGGGCAGAGCCTCGCGCAGCGTCTTGGCGAATCCGGGCGTGGTCTGGATCTTCACCTTGGCCGCCTCCATGGGCGCCAGGGCGATGTCGGCGAAGAACTCGGCGGATGCCGAGGCGGCCAGGTAGAGTCCGGTTCTGTACAGGAATGCGTTCTCCTCGCCGATAGCGTCGCCGTAGATCTTCTTGAACACCTCGTACAGGCCGAACTTGCACAGACCCTGCATCGAGTAGCCGATGAAGGTGGGGGCCCAGCCCTTGGCCAGTCCGCGGACGCCCTCCTCCGCCAAGCTGATGCGGAAGCCGGTGAACACACTCTTGTACTTGGCCGGGTCCACCTGCAGGCGGCACTTGACCAAGTCCAGCGGCACCACCATGGTGTGTGTGGAGCCGCACGAGATGATGCCGCCCAGGCCGCACAGCAGGAAGTAGTGGTTCGAGCCGAATTCGCAGGAGTCTGCCGTGTATTTAGAATAGAGCATCATTATAAAACTGATCTTAGTGTTCTTAAGCTATAAATAATGCAAATAGAAAAAAAAATAGTAAATAGAAAAACATTTTGGGGACTTCAATTTTCACCCAAAAGGTTCTTGAAAATTGTATTGATAAGTTTAACTTTTAGTTTTGATATAATAAATTTGAGAAGAGTAATTTTTCCAGCACAAACACCTAGAAAATTTTTGTAAGTCAAAAAAAAAAAAATACATTTAATATTCAAAATAATATCAAAAATATTTTTGTTTATTTCTCTGGTTTTTGTTAAAAATTTTTTTTTAATTTTTTTGATAACTTAGGAGGTTGATTTTGAAATTCAAAATTCATAAATAAATATGAAAAATCCTAATTAAATACCAATTTAGTAAAGTTCTAAAGTTTCAACAGGTGTTAATTACTTTTGGCTTAGTTTATTTTTAAATGTGTTTATGCGTTTAAAACTATTTAAATTTTTTTTAATTCCTTTTAATTTAAACTATATTTTTTATGATTTAGTTTTTTTTTTTTTATATTAATGGTTTACATAAAGAGTTATTGAAGTTAAATATAATGAGAGGTTTTTCTAAGTGATCGTCCTACTTACCACCCTCGGCAGCCGCAGCGGCGGCGAAGTTGTGGTTGGGGCTCAGCTGGCGGGGAGCGACATCCTTGAGGGCGAGGGCGGGGGTCACCACAGCGGAGGATGTGGGGGCGGAGGCAGGCGGGGCAGCCTGGCAGTTGACGCTGGTGAATGGCGACTTGAACGTTGAGTTCTGCGCGGCATCGAAGAGGGACTTAAACATGGTGTCTTGTTTTCTAAAAAAAATACAAAGATCAAGGGTTTAAAAGCATCAAGGTTAAGGCCATGATGTAATCAAATTGGTTTTAAAAATTCCCACCTAAAGCCACACATTTATAGCCCGTTAGTGTCCTCTTCATATTTAAAGACTCATCTATTATATACTTTTGGAAAACCTTTTCCAAGTTTAGGTCCTGTATTTTCCATCAAAAATAGTATATATATATATATATTTTCTGGGTATACCCTATTTGCTTAAAATGTTATCTAACCACCTATCATAACAACATTTAAACTAATTGATAAACAAAACAATTACTAAAATATTAAAATAATAACCATGGTAATACATATTTTTCTGTTTCCGAAAAGCGATTGCTAGACGTTCCACTCAGACTTTCTCTTATATCCAAAAGTCTCAAATTAAGATTTTATAGATGCAATTATTTTTACATAACTATTGTTTTTTTTCTCGTACGCCAAACACTTTTTATGCATTGCGTAATAGTTGCCTCTCGGTACGTATCGGAGCACTTTGTACATATTTCGAAAACATTTGAAAAACAAAACGGCTTTCGGCAAGCGAAACGGTTCGACTCACTCACTTCAAAGTGCAGGGGATCGAAGGAAGTGAAGTGCAGATAGGCCAGAGATATGGTTGAAGTATAGAGTTGTTGTTGGGCTGAAATGTTGGGACCCAAAACAACGTTCGTCGTGCGCCAGACCAGAAAACCAAATGCAATGGCTGCAATGGAAAAGTGAGAGCTAGCAGCTTCTGTCCAGGGTTGCCAAGTGCGGTGAGTACGAACCGGTTGTTTGCGGGTTAATAACGGTTGGGTATCGGGTAAAAAACGAATTAGCATATATCACAGCTAAACTATGTAATAAAACTGTTTTGTAGTGAGTGTTGAATATATTTGCTCTGAAAACCCCTTGACAACCCCTAATCAGACATTGTTATTTATAAATTGGCAACTTTTGGCCACCACAGGCAGCCGAGAAATTGCCCATTGAACAACGTCTGCGTTGCTTATAAACTGTATGTGTGTAAAAATAAATTCATTAACGTGCGGCCAGCTGATCGGAGGACGAGAAGTTGGCAACTCAATCGATCGATCATCGTACCGCTCTGGATCAAGGTTAAGATTAAGATCTTGTGATTGTTTTTTTTTTTTTTTTTTTTGCAAAATTTAAACATTTTATTTGAAACGTACATTGCTATTATAGACGTGTGTAGTACTAAAATCGGTTGTTAGTAACTTTGTGTACTTAGGATCTACTACAAAAAACGGTATACGACATGGTATCTTACAATCAGACAAGTAAGTACATTTCTGTTGTTGGTGCTTATCAAATAAATGCTAAAAATATCGGAAGTATATAGCTGCACATAATATAGTAATACTTTTCGCAATAAATTACAGTAAAATACAATACAATACAATACATCGATCAAAAATGGCAGAAACAATGTCATCACTTAATAGTTGGTGCTGGACTCGTACTCAGAGGCTCCAATAGATACAGATGGGTCAGGACAGGAGTTCCTAGGCCTCCTGGCATGTCTGGAATGCGGAACACTCATTCCGGACAGGCGGCAGTTGAACTGCCCGTTGGGAAACTTACACAACTAAATTGGCAAACAAGCGGACATCTTACGCTCTAAAACTTAACAACGCTATGTGGACTACGACTCGGCAGTTTCCATGTGCCGGTGCACCGTCACCGGAGCCAGGATGTAGTGCGGCCGGGACTCATCCCCCTCCAGGGGCAACGTGGTCTGTCCGTAGACACCACCGCCACCGGCGGGCGGTCCGCGGCAGGGCGAGGGCGTGGCCTGCACCTGCTTGTAGCGCTCCGTCTTCGAGGCCGGCTGGTTGCTCAAGTACGGATGCGTGTTGGGCTGCGTGGAGGACTGCTGCCGGTTCGTGGGACTCGATATGGAGGTGGATATGGACATGGTGTCCGACTTGCTGTGCCGCTTATCGTGCAGCAGCAAGGGTTCCGCCAGCGTGAAGCACTGCTGGTCGGAGCTGTCCTCGTGCGGCGTCATCGTGCTGTAGCCGTGGTCCGACTCCCCGTTGGGTGGCCGGCGGTAGCTACTGCCGCTGGAAACGTGGTACGGCGATATGTCCGCCGCATGCATCAGTTGCCGTTGCGCAGATGCGTGGTCGTAGCCGCCACCTAAAGGCGGTTCATCATGCGCCTTGCAGTCGTCAAAGTTGAATCGGGACAACGGCAGACCGTAGTTCTCCTCCTGCACCGAGTCCACATAGAACTGCTCCTGCGTCTGGGCATCCAGATTGTGCCTGTAGCAGTAAATGGCGAAGCCAATCACCATGGCCAGCACCACAATGGCACCTCCCAGCGGCCCAAAGGCCGAGTAGGCGTGCTGCTCCCTCTGCGGATTGTGGGCAGCCAGCAGTTCCAGCTCGTCCAGTTCGCCATAGGGTGTCAGCGAGGCAAGCACTCCATTGAAGCAGCTCGCCTGCGACGAACAGAAGGGCGTGGAAAAGGTGCTGCCATCGACATCCTGCTGACACCATTCGCAGCCCATCACACCCAGGCACTCGCGTTGCGTGGAGTACGTTTCACAGGTGCCAGCGGATCCGGGACAACTGGGCAGCGCACTGAGTAGCTGCGTTGTCGGTGGCAGGGCAATAAAGTGCTCACTGGGTGGGGGACAGTACGGGAACTGTTGCGTGTAATTGGCAAAGTAGACGAGGGAGGATGGTGAGCTACTGTCGCCCACCATGGGACACTCGCACGGGCACTCGCAGTCCGTTTGATCCATCCGCTTGCAGTTGAGGCACTCGCGGTCAATGGTGCTGCACGGACAGAAGGCACCGCCATCGCAACTGGAGTTGAGTACGGCGGCAAAGAGGTTGCTGCCCCGGATCAGGGCAATCGCGTACTTGGTCCGCTCGCCGTGCACTACGTTGCCCAGAATGGTGGCCAGTGAGGTATTGAACGCGTAGTACCGCTGCAGAGTGCGGTTCTGATAGCTGGCACAGCCCAGTTTCCTCACCAACTGGCCGTGGTTGAGCACATCGTTGGCCAAGTACGATTCCTTGTGCGTGAGGTGCTCGTGTGGACGTCGCTGGTTCCTCGTGGGCGTGGCAGGCTGCAGCATGCTGGGATGGGCCAGCAAATATCCTTCGTGCTCGAACAGCAGACATTTCATGTGCGGCAGCTGGCAGATGGGAGTGCCTTCCAGGATCAGGCGATAGTAGAAGGCGTAGGGAACGTCCAGAGCCACCACTGCCACCGGCCTGTCCTGCTGGACAGAGTGCAGCGCATGAGCCTTGCCCTCGAAGATGGTGTGTGCAATGGTGATGATATATCCCGCTCCACCCGCATCCAAATACGGAGCTGTGCTTACAATCTTGCCGGGCTGGGCCATGGCCTGCCGGAACCAAGGTCTCCTCGTCGGATCGTAGCTACTGCTGAGCAGACATCCTGGGTACAGCTGCAGCACTCCACTCACACTGGCCATGTACCGTCGGATGATGTGGCTACGCAGTGATCCTCTTGCGTCCTGGTGCCGGCGTCGTAGCTGCTGCATCGCCTGGTACAGCACACTCACCTCATGCCGGATGCTGGGACGCAGCCCCATATTGGCCAGAAGTCCACTGGAGTCGCGAAGGTAGGCCATTATCGACTCCACATGCCGCAGCTGCGTTCGAGGCCTGTTGTTGTGCAGGAATCCGAACGGAGACTCGAAGGCGGCAGCACTGAGAAACAAAGTGGGAGCATCTGCAAGAAATCGAATTTAAATTTATATCACTACGTTCTTCATCTCTGTCCATAGAACTTACCCATTGTGGCCATTTGCCTGAAGTAGCGGCAGGTCTTGGGTTGGACGCTGCCGCCCTGATTGAGGTCCAAGCGATGGTACAGCAGGTCCATGCTCTCGCCATAGTAGCCAGGCTCGTAGTTGGACACGGTGTCCTTCAAGTTATATCGTTGGGTGGAGGATACATTGCGCAGGGAATCGCCTCCACTGCTGACCAGGCACAGTACATAAAATCCCAGCACAGATTGCCAGTGGTAGGTGCGCTGCAGCCTTTGACTGCCCACGTAGACATCCGTGGTGGCGTTGCCGCTCTCCTCATGCAGCAGTCGCTCCCGTATGAGGCTGGAAAAGTCCGTGGCGTTCTCCAGGTAAGCAATGTTTACGGGATATGACGTCTCACGCTGAATTAGCGGCCGCGGAAAGGCAGGATGAGCAAGCGTGTTTCCAGTCGAGCGGTCGAGAAGAAAGGCGTAACCACTACCCTGCTTGGCACTGGATAAAGCACTGGGATAGTTAAGCAGATCCTCCAGCAGATCCGCCAGGTACAGATTTACACCCACAACCCCATAGAAAGGAATGGCATGCGTGATGGAGACTAGAACATCTGCAAGAACAGGAAACTTTAGTTTGTGAAGAGGTAAAACCTATGAAAACTCACCTCCACTGTCTGCGTCCACAATCGGTGGATGCACCTCCAGAGTGTCGCTCAAGTATCGCTCCTGAAAGAGCTGTCCAAAGATGCGTGAACTTGTCTGCGGCAGCGACGTCTCCGCGTGCATTTTGCTAAGCACAAAGAAGCGTCCAGCCAATTGGTATGATTGCTGACCACTGGGCCACCAACTGGCCACATCAATCTCGTACTTGGTGTAGTTTTGTGTGGCCACATCGTTAAGGAATTGCTTTTCGTACATGATTCGCTTTTCATCCAGCACCACGGCGCATGTGTTTATGATCACTGGGGCCCTGAGCCGCCGTTGACCCTCGGCCACCACTCGCAGAACTGCCATTGCATCAGATAAATTAGTCAGGAGACCACGAGTTATATAGACAAACTCCACTGGTTGCTCGGCCGTGTTTATCATTCCCGATTGCTGCAGTCGGTGGAGCAACTCAAAGGCGAACTCGAAGCCCAAAGAGTGATTTGTAGGAGCTTGTGCCCGGCTCAGGTTGTTAATATAGCTGATGATCTCCTCCTTGTGGGCTCGAGTAGCACTATAAATTCCGTGGCCAGCTTCTGCGGAAAAGGCGTCCAGGGACATGAAGTGCGCCTCACTGGAAACCGTTACCAGCGAGACTTTATCCGTCTCCTCCAGCAGCTGGAGCATTTCATGAACTGCAAATAAATATATTATAATATATGCACTCTTATAAAAGTCAATGTATTTACCAAAGCTTTTTGTGAGTTCAAACAATTCCGCGTTCAGAGCCGATCCCACATCGATGAGGAAGAGCACAAATTTTTGCTTGATGGCCGACACGTAAAGCTGACGAAAGTGCAGGCTGGCAGAGGCTCCATCCGAGTTGGACAGAAAATAGATATGCTTGAAGTGGTTGCCACTGCTGGTCTTGCTATTTGAGTTTTCCGCATCACTGCGGCTGAGCCGGCGCTTGAGTTGAAGCAGTTGTTCCGATATGTAGCCATTGACAGCCAAGGAACGGGCATTGTTCTCATTCAAGAAGGTGACGCGTGCATCGTCCGACTTCAGATAGTTCAGGATTTGGATCTGCTGCTTGTTATAGTGAATTGATTGGGTCGACGAGGAGCCATACTCCAATTCGGCTTCGTAGTCCGGCTGGCAGTTCTCTATTTGAGTGTTTAAATAGAGTGGCGCAGGCTCGGTGGACGGTGAAGCCGTATTCCGGGCAGCCAGGTCTTCCAGCTCCATCTCCAAGTCCAACTCGCTCTCGGAATCTTCATCCTCGTCATCGTAGCTGAATTGCCAGACCTTGGTGAGGTTGTAGAGAAAGAGTTCTCGCAGTTCCAGCACCACGTTGGTGGCCTTCTGCAGTTTCATGCTCAGACGGCTGCTGAACACCTGCAAATCCCGCTGCAGCTGGGGATTGGGCAGGTTGCTGCTCTCGTTGCTTGGGACTTGGCGAGCGGGCGGCGCTCCGTTGGAGCTGGCAAGGTGCATGGAGTCGAAGATTTCCTGCAAGGATTGGGGGCATATAGTCGGAGCCTACAAGCCATAAGAAGAGTTAAAGAAAACCCACCTGTATCTTGGCCACCCGCATCTCCATATTGCGAATGTTGCGCAGCTTGCCCTCCATGCTGTGCCGGAGCTGCATGGCATTCTGCTGGTTGTGGTTCACGAAGAAGACGCTCGCCGGCGACTGCTGCAGCGGCATGAAGCCAGGATCCGTAGGCACTTGGTTGCTAGTTGCGTTGGCTATGGCCAGAGGAACTTGTTGACTGCTGGTTGGGCACGCCAGCACTGCCAGGATGAGCAGCGCGGCGTGGAGGCGGCAGCTGGGCCACATGTTTTTGGGGTTTCCTGCGTTCGCCGTGGCCATTGGCGCACAATAGGCAGTTCACCGCATGTCTGCAAGGCTATGCAGTGGTGGAGTTCGGTGGTCCATTCCTGCCCAGTTCTCTATTACCAGAGCTGCACGCTGATTTGTTTATGGAATTTCGTCACATGTATTTCGCTGATTCCTTTGTGTTTGGCATGGCAGGCACTCGAACATTACTCACTGACACTGGGACAACACATAATTAACACTTAAATGCTCGTATTATGCTGCTTTAGCTTAAAAAATAAAGAAAAATTATCAAATTTTTGTAGTTTTTCTTAACATTCCGTTCAAAGTGTGACCGTTGCTTGCTTGGTGCTAAAACGCAGCTTTAGTTCTGAATCTCGCGAAATAGTGTGGCTGTGTATTCCATCGCTTTGAAAGTAAAAATGCGGTACCCTAAAAGTAACGTATTTTTAAAAATGTACATCAAGTAATTTGAAGTCTTAACTTTTAACATTTAAATGTTTATATCTTTTAATCTTAAAATTAAATTCAAAATCATTTAGGCATATAATGTCCTAAAATTTCATTTGCAACAGAATATTTTCACTTCATAGTTCAAATCGTTTTAAATGGTTAATCAATAAATTAATCATATTATTTACATTTAATAGATGAATTAAATAGATTGAAACTATTTAATTCCACTTCTGTTAATTAACAAAAACAATGAAAATCATCGACTTTCCCTTTCACTTTTTATGAGCATTTACAAGTTGACAAACGCTAACTAACTTCGGTGAGCAAAACCAAATTTGAGCCTTTGCCAATTATGCGCTCATCCGTTGTCAAGGTTGTGCGCCGTCGATTCTTTTTATTTTTGTCGGCTGGATACGTGACTATGTAGCCTGAAGATGGAACAGATGCAGTCCAATTGGTGTCAGACGAACAAGTTGCGTGTCCGGCATGATAAAGAGTGCAATGGATCCAAATGTTCAATATAAAAATGAACGAGTCCCAAACATTGCACCGCAGTTTCGATTGCAACGTTCGTCAAAATGGTGGCAAAGGTACAATATCAAAATCGATCAAACGAAATATGTCTGAATTTATAAATAACATTCTTAAAAGTTTCTTCTATTGATGGCCGTTCTGGCCATTGAACGAGGAGAATTAGTTCCACCTGTTGCACGTAGAGCACCATATGCCCCAGCTGGTTGGCATCCACGGATTCCCTTTAATTTGCCCAACAAGTATGTGCCTCCGATCCGATCAAGTCAGGGAGTGGAGATCACCAAGGCACGAGTGGACCAGATCGAACCAGTGGATAAACCTCAACCAAACTATCTGCCCCCGCAACAAGTGGATGACCCCGAGGAAGAGATCCTGCCGATCTCCCTTCCGGCTAACCAGTATGGTCCTCCTGATCCTGGCTTCAAAATCATCTATCCCGACGAGGAGGAACCAGCGACTCCCAAGGACTCCGTCGACAATCAGCAATCGAATGTCAGAGAGGGCCGATACTTCGTTATCTCTCAGGATAATAAACTGCAGAGAGTTACTTTTAGCTCTCAGCAAAATGCCAATGATGAGGACTTCACGGCTCAGTTGAGCTACTCCACTGTGGGACAGCTCAAGGATCCTGTCTACCGATATAACAATCAGGGACAATTGGAGAGGGTTTTAAAGTAGATATTTGGGTTTGAAATCTTTTAACAAAGCGGTTAAGGGATGGACTGATGAAATTCATTCTAACAACCTATCAAGAGATATTCTATCATAATCAAAAAAAAATAGTTATAATATATACGAAAATAAAAAGTAAATCCAAATTTGTTACTGAATTTAAATATTTTTCGCTTTGATTTTATTTCATTTTAAATCAAACAGGAATTTCTCATGGAGTTTAATATGCATTCTGTTGAATATTATGTTTTAATATTTAGTTTAAATATTAAATATACCATTTTGAATTCAATATTCACATATGTATTTTTACTATTCCATTTCTTATCAGTGTAGCTGAAATATTGAAATAAAAACACATTTTGGGGCTTTCTTTTTTGACTTTGTTTTATACAAAAATGCTTCTTTATTCATTTAATAATTATTAAATATACACAAAAATCTCATAAGTTCGTTTCACTTTCGAATTTCCATTTTCGTTTAAAAACTAAATACAATCCTTATGCATGTATGTATGAATGCGTAATGGTCATGGTGTTTGTGTGTGAGTTGGTGTGTTGGGTGTGGGTGTGGGTGTGTGTGTGCGTAGACTAACACAAAATGAAGGCGCTTAAACAAAACAAAACGGCAAGGAGTTCCGGGCGTAGAGACAGGAAACGGGGAACGAACGGAAGTGAATCGTAAACGGGAAACGGAAATGGAAAGGAACGCGCCTGTCTATGGCAAAATGGCGGCCGTCCCACTAAGGGCATATGTAGAAGTAGGGATAGACTGACTGCGATCGCTGGCTCTCTGGCTGGATGGGCGTTTAATACTCGGCCAGCGATCCCATGAAGTAGACGAGTATAGCTGCGGGGTCGACCTAAATCGGGAATCGGGAAATCACCCTTCTCCTTCAATAGCCATTGAACTTGCCCTGCTGCGCATTGCTGTCGTAGCCACCGCCATTGCGTCCGTTGCCGTTTCCATTGCCGTTGCCGTTGCCATTGCCCACCTGTTCGTACCGGATGGTTGGGCGGTAACCGTTCTGGTCAGCCTCGTACTCCACGATCTGCTTGCGACCATCGGGCAGCAGGACGTAGTAGCGGCCAACGGCCAGATCACCGTCGCGCGATTCCATGTGGCCGAAGTCATTGCCCGACTCGTAGTCCTGCACGTCGTACTTGAACTCATACTTGGCCGGGCCGTACTGCTCCTCATCCCGCTGTCCGTAGCCGTTGCCGTTGCCATTGCCGTTGCCATTGCCGCCCTTGAAGATGGCTCCCGTCAGCGCCGGAGCACCGTACTGACTCTGGGGCTGGGCGATGGGTGCTCCGTAGCTGTTGCTGGGCGCTCCACTGCCGCCGGTGCGCTGCGGCGGCAAGTAGTTGTTCGACGGCGACTGGAAGCCCTGCGTGGGCGGCAGGTAGTTGTTGGATGGCGCCTGCGGCGACTGGTTGGGCGGCAGGTACTGGTTCTGGGGCACTGGCGGTTCCGCATGGGTCCAGGCGGCCAGGCACACGAGCAGCGCAATAGACGTAAAGGCCTGTGAAAAGATACACACATTAAGGTTTCTTATTAAATAAGAACTCAAGTAGCAACCCATGCCGCAAAACTCTCAACCAGATACTAGTTATTCGAAATTTTAAACGTTTTTTTTTTTACCGAGTTCTCCCCTAGTTACTTAACAACTAAGGTATCTAGAATTAGCATTAGCCAGCCATGACCGACTCGGATGATGGTGCCTGGATCCACTGGTTCTGCAAGCAGCGCGGCAACGAGTTCTTCTGCGAGGTGGACGAGGACTATATCCACGACAAGTTCAACCTCAACTTCCTGGACTCGAACGTAACGAACTACCGCTGTGCCTTGGAGGTGATCCTCGACCTCAACTCGGGTTCGGCATCGGATGCACCCGCCGAACCGGAACTGGAGGCCAGTGCCGAGAAGCTGTACGGCCTCATCCACGCCCGCTTCATCCTCACCAACCGGGGCATCGAGCTGATGCTGGACAAGTACCAGAAGGGTGCCTTCGGCACGTGTCCGCGCGCCTTCTGCCAGCGCCAGTCGGTGCTGCCCATCGGGCTGAGCGACAATCCCGGCGAGGAGATGGTCCGCATCTACTGCCCCAAGTGCAACGATGTCTACTTCCCCAAGGCGGCACGGCACTCCAATCTGGACGGAGCCTACTTCGGCACCGGATTCCCACACATGCTGTTCATGGTGTGTCCGGATGCCCGGCCCAAGCGGACGAAGCAGAAGTTTGTGCCCAGGTGAGCTCCCCAATTCCCAATCCTTAAGGTCCCCAAGCAGTGATAGTTATAACTCCCGATCAGGTAACCAATTGTGCTGTTCTTACTATGGATATTTTAGAAGCTTTATAAAAACGTGATAAGTTTCTGTTACCATTAGCTCTTCACCACTTATTATTTCAATTTAAAAACAACTTTAAGTTAATATAAATTGTTCACAAATTAAATGATAGTATATTTATGAAACTGTTATTTTTTAAATTTAAGACCATTAATATTATTTGATGTAACTCCACATGACCTCAATTTAGTTATGAAAATGATGAAACCTTTTAAATTCCAATAATATCAAAAAGCTAATATATTTGTGTTGTTTCAGGCTCTATGGCTTCAAGATCCACCAGATGGCCTTCCGACCCCCGAATGAGGTCTTCAGAGAGATGTCGGCAGTGCCAGAAATCGAAACCACATCCCATCCCTGATCCTGAATGCTAAATTTTGTCATGTGAAACTGTAGCTACTGTTTTCGGCTGGTTGGATGCCAGCTCATTAAACTCTCATAACCATAACTGCTCGAGTTGCGAACCGCTTGACAATCTTTTGTTCGGATTTAATGGCTTGCGAGCAGGCCCAGAATGGCCATTGTCTTTGCCATCTCTACAGCATTTAGCCAGGGCATATGCAAATCTGCGGTAATTGGGTCTCAGTCTCAGGTGAAGCTCGGATCGGATTGGATTTGGCTGAGCTGAGCTGAGCTAAGTTAGCTTGCACTAAGCTGCAAGTGAAGGGCTGATGATCTCTGGCTTGCGCAATGCGTCTGAATATTAAGTATACGCCGTGTGGCGCGGACAACCTGTGGGAGAACCTCATTGGCGCTGGCTTACACAACTAATTTCCGAATCTTGTGCAAAAGATCTTCTGCCCGAGTGTTTAAGTACAGGGCCTTCACTGACTTTCATGCTTCATTGGCGTTAAAGTGCTACGCTTGGCGCTTTTGTCTGCCTTTTTATCGCCACCTGGTCATCTCCAGACTGCCTTACTTGGGCATGTCCAGCAGTAGTTCTTCTTCCGCCACTTAAAGTTTCTCTAATGCATAAGCATTGCAAAATGACCCCAACCAATTGCTGTGTGCTACCCGCACCCTAGAAATGTACTGGGATCGCTGACTGCAATTGTTTCCCAGGCGGATGAGATCGGTGTCGTGTTCTAATTCCGCAAATCTAACAAAAGACAAACAGTAGCCCACTCGACAAATTGATGGCGATCTTAGCCGTGATGATGCCGCTTATGAAATTTATTATGCGGGTCTCCGCTTGATTAATCGCCCTGCTGAACTTGACTTTTAAAATGGCTCAAATATTAATATTTCATGTCTTCTCTTTACCAAGTGTGATGTGAGACAATCGAGGCTTCATCAGTCTGATGAGTTGTTTAATTGATTGATCGGTCTATGGCCAAAAATCGATTTTAAATGAGGGTTATTAATTGGCTTGTAAGAAATATGAATATACATTTTGGACATGTTTTTAGCACCTTTGTGATCGAGTTTAAAAGATGAGGAAATAGTTTGTTATTTTTAATATCTTGTAAAAATTATTTCTTTAATTTGTATCCTTAAGGAACGAAGTTAGTCTATACCTTAAAATATACTGATGATTTCTAATAACTATAAAATATTTTCTGATATAAAACTTGATTATAATAAAAGGATTAAAAGGATTACTAACAAGGAAACGAATATTTGTAAATTAATTTTAAATACTGTTAGCTGTTATCCTGAAACACACTTTTTGCTATTCCGTCCTAATATTTCCCAAAACAGCAAGTACTGCTTCTCATCCTGAATAGGTTCTTTAAATAGATCCTTTATTTTTGCTGCCCATATCCTTTAGTGAGGACTCCTTATAACACTGCACTCCACTTGACACTTGACAGTTCTAGTTGGCTATATAATTTATACCTTCATTCTGTGTTGTCACTTGTTTGGGGTTTTGGCACACACGAAAACGGTTTTTGTTAACTTGCTCTGTTGGCTGTGTTCTTCTTGCGAAGATGGTTGACTTGATTGTGATACTGAAACAATTTCGTAGGCCAGTATTTATATTTGAAATGAGCGGCAGCCCAAGCTGCGGCGTCGACGTCGGCTTCAAAAAATTGCGCGCCAAAATGTAATTTTTTTTTGTTTTTGTTTTCGATTTTTTTTTTAATTTTTGGGCAGAGTGCTACAGCCGAACGAGCACTCGAAAACATTACAAAATAATGCAAAGAGCAGATTGCTCTCAGTGCTCAGTGGGAGAAAAGAGGGAAATCGCTTGAGGAGGTTTGTTATAGTAAACTAGTTACTTTGAAATTAAAGCGCCAAACATTTTGACGGGCTTCGTTTGGCTTCGTTTTGTGAGTTCGGGCGAATGAGCGAAGATGATTCGGATGTCGCCTCCATCCGAATCCACATTCGAGTTCAAACAAATGAGACGAGGGAGTACCGAGTACCGAGTACCGCGCTCCTGCGGCTGCAGGCCATAAACATTTGTTGCCGTTCGTGTAATAGCACAAACACTTATTTGTAATGGAATTAGTCATGCGGCGGGCAGCGACGCCGGCAGAAGATGTGAGCCGCAGACAAGTGAGCGGAGGCAGCTGCTCCACTCCACGCATCTTCATCTCGGATCGCGAGCCTCGCTTTTCAGTCTTGCGGCAGCTCTGGCAGCGGTAGCGGCAGTGGCAGCCTCATCCCAAAGCGAAAAGCAAAAGACTCAGGCAACGAACTTGCTGCAGGCCCCACAAATTCGGGCACAAATTCTACTGCCACTGCAAATTGTTACCCCTTAGTTTCCCCTTAGTGCGTGGGAGTTTTCGCTGGGTTTTGTTCGGTTTTGTTCGGGCTTGTTTTTGTTTTACGGCCCAACTAATGAGCTGGATTATGCCCCAGAGTTCACAGATGCGGCTGTTTGGATTGGCGTTGACATGGATTCCAGTCGGATAAGCGCAATTGAGATGTGAGCACAGCGAGGGAAATAGCGTTTCAAAACGATTTTCAGATACGTTATCTTGGTGGGAAAGATACGCTGTGGTGTCAAAAATGTAAATTGAAACTAAACTGAGCATTAGAAAAGACTTCAATGTGTTTTAGGCAATAAATAACAAACTGTTAATTACAAATATTAAGTTTTTATTGTTCATGGTTAGGATAAATAAAGTTTTTATTTCACTAGTTTGTCATTAACATCAATGATGTCTTATAAGTTTTTATATTAGCCTTGTAAATTTTATGCAAATAAGATGTAAGCACAGTCAGGGATATGTTAATATAAATTAAATTTGACGTTTTTAAGACATGTAATTACTAAAGAGGTTTCTAAGAAATAAAAAAAGATTTCAAAATGAAATCTTTTAATAAATTTTTTATGTTTACCAAAATAATATCAAATAAAAAACTCATATTTAACACAACAAAAAAAGATTGTCCTTGATCATTTTAAATCAGATATCAAATATGTACGGCCACACATTTTATTTATTTGTATGTTTCCTGCAAATGTATTAAAACTTTTTTTTGCTTGATAGTTTTGATTATTTGTTTATCCCATTAAAAAGTCGATTGCATAACACAAAGAAAACTTGAACTCTTGAAAAATACTTGAACACAACACTTGACAACGGGGAAAAGTAACTCAATATTTTTATTGCCATATTCCATGTTCATTTAAGTTTGAAACAGTGGGCGTAGCATCCATCACGATCTGCAAATATTTCTTTGGTCAATTGTCTTTGGCTCATTGATCGAATGCATGGCAAATGGATTGTTGAATTTTTGCCAGGCATTTTGTTATAACGGTCTCTACTCATTATGCGATTTGGCACGAGCTGACTTTCACATTCGATAATGCCAAGTTTATGAGTTGTAAATTCAAAGGCCAGGCCATGCCCCGCCCCAAATGAGCTGGAAATTAATGAAAGATCGAAGGGATGGGAGGTTGGAAGGGGTGAATCTGAATAGCTTCCTCACTGCCAATTCCGCAAAGTGCTTTTCTGCAAGAAATACTCGACCTTGCCGCAGACCACAATAAAAATAAATTAGAAATTAAAGTCGAAAAGTTTTGTAATTACCAAGATCATTTGAAGTTGTGTTTGCAAATATGCAAACGCGAAAAATTATAATAAACAAACAAAAACTATAACATCTCATAATGGCTAATATGAGTCTTGGATTGTAAACAAAACAATTAAATAAAACTTCGCTTTGCCGCATTCCTTGCCCCACTCCACTCCATTCCACTCCAATCCCGTCTCGGAAACAAAAACTGAAATTCATATTCAATAGCACTCCATGAACAACTTGAAATCTGTTTTCGGTTTTCGGTTTTCATTGCTCAGTGCTCAGTTTTCAGTTTTCAGCGTCTTCTGCTTGTTTTTTGTACGTTTGTAATCATTTTTCCAGCACATTAAAAAATCATTTAATTTCCTGCATCGGCTAATTTACATTGAACGTGCCAGACAGAGAGGCCATCTAAATAGGACGGTTTTGGCTTTGCAGTTGGAGTTGGAGAGGGAAACTAATGGCACCCAGCCAGGTGATGAAGCGCCAAGTCGAAGACAATGACGATTTGTAATTTCTGATGGCTGCTCTACAGCTTCGAATGAGGGGTTGGGGGGACCTTGAAAAACTTACAACTGCCCGAATCCGATTTCATATCTGTATCTGTATCTGGAGATCCGTATCTGTGTTTGTTTTGTAACCTAGAATGCTGACGAGTGGAGCGCCAACGTATAATTTAAATGAAACTACGATAATTTCTGATGCAATGCCCCCTAAGACGGACGAAACCGCGGACCCAGCGGACAGAATCAATTAAGGCATCTTTTGATGTAAATTGCGCCTCACTTCAAAACATCGAGCCACTCTAGATGATGATATTTCGAGAGTAATTTTTGTGGCTCACAGTTCTTCGCACGACGACTGCATTTTTCGCCCGACGCGAAGGTCACTGCCTCTTGCCAGAATCCGAGTAAAAGTCGATTGACTCACACACAAAATTGCCAAACTTTGACATTTGCAACCGCACTGAAGTGAACTGAAATATATGTGAGTAAGCTGGGTGGTAGGTAGGGTACAGTAGGGTATTTGACTGTCCTTTTTAATAGTTGCTATTTAATGAAACTTAATTCCTTTAGTTTTTAATTTGAAAGCATAAATTGTTGAGTAATCCCAGATTTATCATTTAATTTTAAAATAAATTTGATTCTAGCATGATTTATTTTATGTGTAATTAATATATGAACGTTAATGAGAAAAACAACCAAAAACTCTAAGCCTTTCAAAATGATTTTAGGACTTGGCTCATTATGAAATCTTAAATCGCTAAAATTGCTTGAATAAAAAGTTGTATTAAATTAAAGTCATAACTTGTTGTAAGCTATTGGAAATTAAGGTTAATTTATTGTTAGTTATCACGTTGTTATTGCCCATTAAAAAGTATTGTATACAATATTGGGATTTAATAAAACTAGGCTACAAAAGACAGCAATCTATGATTTGAGAACTTTTTTAATTAAAAGAATTAGTCCTCAA